TGCACCAGAACTTGCAGGTTCTGATGAAACAGTTGCATACAATGGCTGAGCTATGTAGAAAATTGAGATCAGCTCACCAAGAAAAACACATCACTAGAAAACAAATCATCCTAATTCCCAAGTTTCAAGGGGTAACTGCAGTTTGAGGGACCTGTAAGTAATGTAGAGGTTAATGTATTTTAAATACATTTAAATACCACTTCTTTATCCACAGAAACAAAATTAAAGTGAGTAAATAACAATTGTTCTGCAATATGGAAAGGCTATTGCCATTTTACTTGCATTGAGATGTTTAATTTCCAATCCATGGTATGTGTTCGCGCTGTCAACTTGTTTGGCATTTTAAACTGTTCTACATGTTTTGCTTTATGATTTTTGGCAGTATTCATGCATTTAGCAGACTTATGACCCTTAACAGCAAAGGATACAAATTCCCTCATTCCCCTCTTGGAAGAACTCCAAACTTTGCCTCCATCTGCTAATTCTCCATTTTCTACATGCTGCCTTTTAAATAGTAGATTTTTTAAAAAAAGACAGTATAGAAGTATGTGGTACTACAAACAGATTCACTTTTACTCCATTGCAGCAACTTGTCCACCAAGTGGTCTTGGCTGCACATCCTACATCTGCTTAGGATGTGACCATTTATTTATTGATAGCAGTTAGCTTTAGTGTTTCCTAATTTTGTACAGACTTGTCCTGTGCAACAAGTGGCAGAAATACAGGTAATGGTACTCAATCCTCTTCCGAAGGTCAGCCTGCCTGGTAACATCCTCTGCTAGAAGGGAACAAGCTCACACTCAAAACAGCTACCAAAAGAGGGAGCAAATCTACCCTTGCTGCTGTGCAGTTTATTTAATTTATCCCATTCAAGCTCTTCTGGCAAAGACAGCACTGAGCAAGGATGTGCTCCTTAACACAAACAGCGTATGTACTAACAAAATGCCTATTATGCCTTCATGATCATAGAAGGTGGCAACCTAATGAAATACCCTTAGGTCTTCCTTCAACTGGTAACTGGAAGGAAAAAAAAACAGCTCTTACTTCAATTTCTAAGGCAAGGACAGATTTATCTTCATGAGAAGACAAACACCAAATAAATGTGTTTTTGTATCTTGTACTTTAGAACAAAATTAGGACTGATAGAGGGTGGGATTTACCCTGCTTAATCCAGATTCTATTTAGACAGCTATTTTCTGCTGGAAGATAACCTTTAGCACCACCTCCCATTAAAAGTGAAACATTAGATGCAACTTCCTAACTTGTACGTCAAAGTTGCAAAGGGTGAATCTAGGCCAGATGAAGTGTGTTCATTTGAAAAGGAATTACACAGATTCTACTTTATCTTTGGGAATTTCCATCTAGAAGGTTACAGATCTAAGTAAAGACTGTTGGGTAATCAAACAAATGAGGAGTCTGGGTCTAAAGATCTAAAGATAAAGGGTAAGGAGAAATAAAAAAAATTAAAAAGAGGGAGTTACAGAAACAAAATCAAAGACAGCAGGCATAAGATCACAATCACTTTATGGTTAAATTTATTGAAATTATTTCTAAGTATACATATCAATTCACACTACTCATAACTACCATCCTCATTATCTGATATACATCAAACAGGGTATTTCCATTTGCTTAAGCAACAGTTGAGTGAGCACAGAATATAAAATCAGAACGTAAAACAAGGCAAGCATGAAAAAAGCGTTAGGCTTAGGAGTCTTCCACTAGAAAACATTTTGCTGTCAAGTTTCAGAGGAAAACTTTTAACAAACATATTGCAAAAGAGAAAAGCAAAATTAACTACAGTAAAAAAATTTCTTCCTTCCAGGCCCTGTTAAAAGTTTTAATGACAATCTGAAAATAACTCAGCAAGTCAGCTGATAGAAATATTATCATAAGTAATAGAAAAACCCACAACATCTTTGGTTCAATATAAAGCTGAAGACAAAAACAAAGCAGATGAAGCTTCTGTAAGGAAGTAATTTTGAGTATGACAGAATAAACATTCTACAACTACAAAAATGAACTCAACTGCCAACAGTAAATTTTGACAAATCAAGACCTTCAGTTAGAAGTTGTAAAGTATGGAACTTGGTTTATTTTTTCACAAAGAATTATGTATGTGTATTCTAGCTTAATGAAGTAACAAGACTACAAAATTGTTAAACTAGCAGAGAAGTATTTTCTAGGCAAGTAACTTCTAGTTCTCTCATGAGACATCTCATTTGGTTTTGTGCTTTCATCTGTTCAAGTGTTCAGCAATGGCAGATTGTTTTCAGCTGCTGTACAGAGCTTTCTACACAGTCAGAGTGGTACAACTGAAAACATGTTTTCTCCATAAGATTTGCATTCAATCTTCCCTGTATGTGTCTAACTGCAAGACAGCTTCTGCTACCTATCTCTCAGGATCCCTTCAGAACACCAATATGCAGTTCCTTCCCATGTCCGTACAACATTCTCAACTGGTTGCTTCCTCACTACCTGCACCTTCCTGTTCTGGGGGAGCTTCCAGCTAGAACTGAATCATCGTATGGCTAATTGTGGTCTGACAACACGTGCTGGGTAGCTCAACATTTAGGGTACCACTTGTCTCAAAAACCTCCCTTGACCTTAAAGGTACCAATCAGCGTCTTTTCAATTTTCACTGCTCAGTAGTCACTGCTTAAAGCTTCTGAGACACAATTTAAAGACAGAATATAAACCTCTTCCTCTGGCTGAACACGAGTTAAAGGCACATGGATGCTGATCCTAGTAGCAACACCAGTATTGATGTGCCTTCCCTCTCTGCCCCAGGATTACATGTGTTGAAGAATCAACAGCTAATCAATTTTGTTGAACAACTGTATGGTAATGCTTAAGTCTCCACACTGAAGAAATATTAATACAGTTGTATTTGAATCCCCAGATTGGAAGCTGTTCTAATATTTGTCCATCTTCACTAGGAATTTGGTCTCACAGCTGCTTGTGTCTACTTTAGACCTAAGGGCAGGAAGAATTTGCAGTGAAGCAGCTGGAAGCATTACCAAACAGCCCTTCAGGACTCTTTCTCAGATTTCAACCTTCTCTAAGAAACTGGTAAGGCTTTTGTTCATCTAAAATCCAGGAAAATATCCCCTCTTACAAGAAAAGGTTTTAATTTTGAAAGACAAGATTTGCCAAGTAGTTGCAGTTGTTAAGATTCAGTCTACCCACTTAAGTAATTTATTACAGATTAATGTTTTATTATTAAAACTAATTTTGTAGGTCCTTACACTTAGCTCCAACTGCTGTTTGAAGGAAATTGTAAAATTGTTTTGGATCTTATTTATTATCTCCTATCTCAAATGAAGTAAAAAAAATAAAAATCACCGCCTAGAGTTTTGGGCTTTTTTTAAAGTCACTAAGTTTTTGTTCTATTCAATGCTAAAATCATAAAGCAACTGCAGTGGGAATGCTTTGAATATATACATAACTTACTTCTCAATAATATATTTCCACACCTCCTTGTGTTACTTGGACCAAGAAAAGGAGAGCTTATGCTTTTGAAGTTGACCATTAATTATGTCAATTTAATATTTACCATTTAGTATTATTTCTTATTGCCCTTCATAGGGAAGTCCAAAAGGGTTTAAACCTAGGAGAACATGCATAGAATAAAACCACTTAAAATGATTCAAAACTACTCACCAGCCTAAAAATAAACACCAAAACCCTCAGACAAAGCAAGTAGAACATGCTAGAGGTAGGTCAAGGCAAAGTTATGCTTTCAGCAGCCAATCTGACTAAGGTAATATAGCCCTGATAGATCTAAGATGTGCTGTTTCCAAAATCCATGCTTAATCCAGGTTTTCCCTGCTAATGTCAAATAAACTATCTATTGGTATGACTTGTCTATGTTAGCCAAGACTTTATAGCCCAACTGCAAGATCAGGTAGGAACTCTAAGTGAAGGCAGAAAGATTTACCATTTCTGATTAAGTGCCAGGCTTTTTTCCCAGATGGTATCTAACCTCATTTCCATTGCAAAATATGTTAAATGCTGCTTTTTTCAGAATATAATTCTTTTATCTCTAAGACTACCTTTTTTACTATTTAACTGCCTACAAGAAACAGATAACTACAAACTCTAAAATATGCCAATATACAGAAGTAACATTTTAAAACTGCCCACATTTACTTGATACAATAAAAATATCAATTATAACAATGAAAAATGCATATAAAAAACTGTAGATGCATTCTGCTTTTAATAGTGCATAAAACCTCAAGGCAAAATACAAAAAACACAGTATGTAAGTAAGAGGAATCTTTATCAGTGTTCACTCCTTACAGCCAATCATCCAATGCTTTTATACTTCTCATTGTGTCTTATTTGGACCTTAACTTGGAGTTCTTCAAACTGGGAAATGAATTATGAAAAACAAAAAAATATACATCGGACTGGATTCTGTCTCCCATTTCCAACAAAACAGCCAATGCTAGGATTTCTGCTATTTTTCAAACCCATAAGAACAGTAAAATAGATAAAACAGATTTAATTCCCTTCCCTCATGTTTTCTATTTGTTTTTTTCTACATTCCTTTATGTTCAAAGAAAAATGACCAGTACAAAGAAGTTGTGTATTTTTTTCTTCTTTCACTTTCTTAGAGTCTGCAAATGCTGCCTTTTTCTTTGCATTTTTATGTAGAAAATAAGTTTTTTCTGAAGATTTTACTTCTTCCTCTCAAAACTGAAGTTTTAATTATTTCAAACAAAGGCAACTGATGCAACAGTTTTCTTATTAGCTGAGCATTTTTCAATTGCTGAATGCATAATTTCACTAAATGGTATTATGGCAACTCACTCTTCTAAAGCAGTACTGTCACTAACAGCAGTGTTAAGATTTTTGTCTAAGAGAAGTAGTGGCATTCATGTTGCTTTATCCCACTATACTGAAGATTTTAGCTGCTCAAGATGCACTTTGCTTTGCAAGTCTAAGAAACAACAGTTTGATGAAAGAAGCAGAAATATCAACTAGACATTATGTATGACCAGAAGCATACATAGGTATATTCCTGAAAATTCAGCATTCCATATAAATTATAATAACCAAACTGGCTTTTCAGGTCCAGAGAGTGCGAAAATTTTTTTTAAGGCATAAGGAATTATTGCAGTTATAGTCTGAAAAAGTACTGTACACCCAGTACTTATTTACTCTGAAATACCTGAGTAGCATGGTATCGAAATCTTTAGCCTACTAAGGACTACAATACAGTAGAACTGAGAACAAAGCCAAGGAAAGTTAGAATGAAGACATTTTACTATTCTGAGTAAATAACAACTTTCTTAATTGTTTCATTTAAGTTCTGATGAAGATTCCCCTTACACCATTTCTTTGGTAAAACTGACTGCACCACAGTTGCTTCATCAGCTGGTAAAAAGGCACTTTCTTTGGAGGAAATACTTTTTGTGACCTTGTATGTCCAGTTTTATAACACTCAGATAATATGCACACCCTATATTAACCATTTATTCAGCAAATAAAACACTAGTTTCAGTCTGGGAAACAGAGATCAAACTGACCAATCACAAACCAACAGTAAGCCTAATCATGTAAAAAACTACCCGCTACAGATAAATTTCTAAATACAGTATATCATTATCTGTATAAAATGAGTAGTTTCAGAGCTATTTTAAAAGTATCTTATTACTCAAATGTAGAGGACTTCAAAACACAGTGAATGTTTAAAATGCATAGTTGCATACATCTTCTGTAGCTTTGTGATGTTTTCCACTTCTCTTGGCTTAAATCTCCTGCAATAAAAAAGAATAAACATTTTATTACAATATGAATATTTATTCATATACTGAATTACTCAATAACTGAATAATAAATTCTGTTATTTTGCTGGTTAGTAAAACTTACTTGAAAATAAACTTCAATCTAATCAAAACATCAATTTTTTGAATGGTCCAATTTGCAAATCAAATCATGGAATCATTTAGATTAGAGAAGACGTCTAAGACCATCAAGTCCAACCATTAACTTGGCACCACCACATTTAGAAGTAAACCATAACCCTAAGTGCCACATCCACACACCTTCTGAGCATGCCCAGGATTGACAATTCCATCACTTTCCTGGACAACCTGTTCCAATGCCCGTCAGAGAAGCAAGCCTGCCTAACAGATAATATAGAACTCTTCTGATACAACTCGAGGCCATTTCCTCCTGTTCCATCACTTGTTACTTGGAAGAAGAGACTGATCCCCACCTTGCTACAATCTATTTTCAGGGAGTTAAAGGGAACAACTGGCATTTATCGTGTTAACACATCAAAACTTTTGACACTGTACGTAATGACAAAGCAAGTGATTCTTAGAGAATAATCCTTATTTATTGACTGAGTGCTGTGTCAAAAGAATTTTTTAAGAATGGAACCTCAGACCCAACATGAGATAAATCCTCATATGCTGGTTTTGATTGGAATAAAGTCAATTCTTTTCACAGCACGTGGTATAGGGCTAGGTTTGGATTTGTGCTGGAAACAGTACTGATAGCACAGGAATGTTTTAGGTATTGCTCATCAGTGGTTACACAAAGTCTTGTCCTAGCAAGGACGCTGGAAGAATACAAGGAGTCGGGAGGCGACACAGCCAGAGCACCCGTCCCTAGCTGATCACAGGGATTCTCCATTCCATAGAGCATCATGCTCAGCATGTAAAGCTGGGGGAACAAGGAGAAATGGGGAGGGGACACACATTCAGAGTCACAGCATTTTTTTTCCTGATTAACTGAAGCAGCTATTACACATTTTTGAGCATGATGAAGGCCTTCTGTCCTGGAGACAGCTGAACATCTGCCTGCCCATAAGAAATAGTGGAAATTTATTAGTGGAATCGTTTCTTTTGCTTCTGTGTTCAGCTTTTGCTTTCTTCTGTTAAGCTGTATATCTGTATATCAGACCCTGAGCTCCCCTATTTTTACTCATCTGATTCTGTCCCCCATCCCACCAGAGAGAGCAACAGCAAGTGGCTGCGTGGGGCTGAGTTGCCAGTTAGAGTTAAATCTAAGAGGAACAGAGACCATATAATCTCAGAAAGTATTTGTTCTGGATCATTTTCTGAGTATGTGAACTCTACCTAACATGTTTCCTTCCATTCTTTAAAACAAAGGGTACGGTAACAATCTTTACTTGGGTAGATGGCTTGTGATGAGGATGAACCAGCAGTGATGTGAATACAAAGTCATTCACACCTCTCATCCACAGATCAGAGGCTGAGGTGCCAGATGCAGAAGAGAAACAAGTGTGTGTAGGATTGCTCCTCAAGTGACAGACTATCCTCTGACAAGCATTTCCAGATGGCATAAGTAGAAACAGCCTATAATCAGACTGTAAAGAGGGTACAGAATCAGGAAGTTCATTATATAGCTCTCATGGGACTACACACACTCTGGTTCTTCATTCTACAACTAGTCCTTTCAATCACCATCTATTAAGCTCAGTCTTCTTTCCCAGACTCCTCTAAATCTCTGTAGCACTGTCATATTCCCCACTTGCTGTAACAGAGTATCCTTCCTCCATAAACTCCCCTGACACACTAAATATAGCCAGAAAGAGTGGCATTTTGAACACAGAAGTACCTTTATGCACCTCAGCATCTACTCTGGCATTCACTGAATTCTTTCATGATCAGGAGTTAAGCAGGTTAACCTGGGTCCCATTTTAAAGATTGCATGGTTTAACAGAGCTAGTAAATCACAATGACAACACAATTGAGTTAAAATGATTTGGACTCAGTTTCCTGTTCAACTGTATCTGACTTTACTTGAACAATGATTTAATTACTATGTTACTTCCACATAAAAAGAAAGATTGGGACAGCAAAGCAGACTTCTTTTCCCTAGTATTAGCCTGCCCAAAAGATAAGTAAACTCTGGTCTCTTACTTACCTTTCAAGAAACCTCTTACTTACTTTTTGAGGTTTACTTCTCTGCCTAGAACTACTTGGATCTCCCAGCAATGTTTTCTTCTGATTTACTACAAGAAAAAAAGCAAAAATTCCAAAATTGAACAGTAAGATATTCCAGAAGTCTCCTTCTGGAATAACTGTGGCTAGATACTATGCTGTGACTTGAATTAGAAGTTTTCTTGCTAAAGAAAGTTTGTGATTCACTAGGCTCCCCATTAAATACACTGCTGGATGTGACATTTAATTATAACCTCATCAACCAATCATATCAGTCATCCCCTGACATAACAGACCAGACATGTTCCTTTGGAGCCACTCTGTGGTACACAAATCCATCTTCTAAACTGCCAATAGTTGAAATAAATTTCAGTTCTTGAATCATGGAAGTACATAGTTAAATAAATTTTCCTCATATGTGTTTATCTAAGAATTACACAACAAAGATTAAACAGCTGTGAAGAACCACATCCCACAAGGACAAAAATGTTATTTTGGTGCACTATTCTGTTATCATCCTGCTATTTTCAGCATGTTTATGAGAAGTAGGCTGTGCAATAAAGGCAATTTTTCAATTTTCAACTCAAGACATAGTCCCAAACATTCAGCAGTATAATAGCATACTATATTCCCAAGACATACTCCCACTTTATTCTGTAATTGAATTAGAACTTTAAGTCTGTTCAGATAAGCGAAAAAGCACCAAAATATATTTTCAGCACTGAATAAAGGAGTAAGACAGTGAATACAACACAGGAAAACTAAGGAGGTCACTGCAGCAAAACAAGAAATCGAGGAGGGAAAGAGATACTCAGAAGAAAAAGGGAGACAAATACAGCAGGAGAGAAGGGATCAAGGAGATGAAAGTAAGAGTAGACTGGACACATCTAAAAAGAGGACCTGTTAGGCAACTTTCCTCTGGTTTTAAGAAGTAAATAGGCTAGATAAGGGAACCAGGCTTCAGCAGATAGGCAGAGACAGCAAGCCTAAAGAAATAGATGACCCTAAGTACAGGGGAGCCAGCATGGGGGCACAGACTCTGGAACAGCAAAAGAGCAACTGAAGTGCCTACACCTGGTTCCTTTGGTTAACAGCAACACAGCCCAAACTATTAGCACAGTGTGCAATCTCCTGAGAGGCTGGAGTTAGCCCCCAAAACAGCCAACAATACCAGCTCCCAACACCCCAGCAGCTACAGACTTAGCTACAAGAGTTAGGGCTTTGACCATGTGCCAATGAGAGAAATGTATGTTAACATGGACAACTATACTTTGAAAAAAAAAAGTGCCTCTTTCAGGTTGCACTTTTACCTGGAAGTAATTTCCATGAAATTATGGTCTTCTAGAATTAGCTTATAATGAGGACGCATTGTGCCCTCACAAAAACCCAAAACAACCCCAAAACCAACACAAAACAAACAAACCACCAAAAAAAAATCCTCATTTCAAAATCAAGCTCAAGGTGGGAAAGAGTGTTCTTCTCACTCCGGAATTAGAAAGTCTTAAGGAAAAGAATACAACATTCTTTCACATTGACCATCATCCCCCTTACCAATGAGATCAACAACAAGGTATAATTTTGTACAACACAAATACACATAGGAACAAATACTGAACTACAGTATAGGAACTTTTGCTTACAGTTTCTCAATTTGGTCAAACTCTTTTCCACCTCCTGCAGAACAAAAGAAGTACTACATAAAAGTATCCATTTAATAAATATAAAATTTATTGTTTAGTACATTTAATAATTGTTTAGTCAGACCAAAATATTATTTTTTTATTTTGTTAGTTTTTTTTATATTTCAAATTACCTTGTTTATCTATTCAAGGGCATTACCTCCAAATTGCTGAAAAAGCTTATTTTAGTGAAATTTTATTAGTCTTATTTTAATAAAAATCATCTTTTATATAGGTCTATACCTATCTATATAGGTTGATACATTTCTGTATTTTAAAATAGAGATACCATGCATTTATGTCTGTATTAGACACATGCCTTTCTCCTTATTGAATGTCTCTAAAGAATTTTCTCCCATCAAGGCTACCAAGAATTGCTTCCATTCCTTAGCATTCCCTCAAAAATTATAGCCTCAAAATTCCCTTGTATTGTAAGGAAAAAAACCACCAGGACTATATCAAAACTGTTATGGGTAAGTAATGTTTAGTGAAAGCTCCTTTCATTGTAGTGTTTTATATGAAAGAATTTTATCAGAAATACAGATGTGAAAATAATCCTTCTTCATGTATGTTGCACTATGGGTCATTTTCTACTTTTGGCTGTAATTTAACAGAAAGCTAGAAATTAATTTAAAAAACCCAAATCAACCAAGCAAAAACTCCCCACCAAAACTTACCTTTTCCTTTCCTTTTTGAATACACCTCATAGAGGACAATAGTAGTTACGAGGATAGCAACTTCAGCCACAACTGCTATAAAAGGTTTGAGAGGTGCTGAGATGGACAGAACTTTAAGTTCAAACCTTGCTTTACTGCTCCCTAAATCAAACACAGCTTCACACCAATATACACCACGATCTTTCTTTGAGAGCTTGAAAATCTCCAGACGGCTTACTTTGGCAGATTTTCTCATAATTTCAAACTTGTCAGTATGCAAAATCGTATTAATGGGAGCCTGAAAAAAATACATTGCAAGTATTAATGTAATGAGAAGGCATTTAATCAAACAGTATCATCAACATTCAGTCCTGTACAGATAAGTACAATGAGCTAGGAACAAAAGGCATTTGTGAAGCACCACTACCCCACCTTAGAGGGAAGGATTTATTTTATGGACACCTTTGTTCCTTCTAGACTACTCACTGGAGGAAAATACAAAGTTTCAGTGGGAAAATTGTCTGACCTGTTTTAGTTTATTTACAATCACACAAAAGGCATCTTTGGTTCTATTGACTCTCCAATGACAAAGGCATCCTTGGCTGCCAGATCTAATGCATGGGTTTCACCACACCACAGAACATGCTCTTCCAAGGAAGTGGAAGAGGGGGCTCTCCTTCACTAGGACATACACTGATTCTCTTAAAAAAGTCAGTGCTGATCTCCAGCATTACAAAGGAGACAGATCTGTTTGCATTCTCTCAGTTGACAGTGCTGCCCTCAGAAGAGGGGTGAAAAGGAAGCTATGCTTTCTACATCTATCATAAGGCTAAGAGATAGAATTACTTCTACCTGGAGGAAGTAAAGGGTTATACATCATCTTACAGGTGAAAGCATATCCCGCTGTAAGATTATTTTTGTATCCAGTACCAAGATTTGGGTAGTATAACCAGTATAAATACAGTAAAAACAAGTCTCTCAAGACTCACCCCACTTGGGTGTATGGCAGGGCCTTTTAGTATGAAGAAATATGCAAACCAAAACAAAAAACTACATCCCTGTAACAAGGAATACTTGCATATATCAGATTTTTTTTTCCATTTCCATAAAGATATTTCCATTAATGGAAATGCCATTTGTAGAGCTTGCAGTAAAGTACAAAGTATCTGTACTTATTTTTTGTTTTGCTTGGCCAACAGAGGGAGACCTTACCAGCTCAGTTCCATTGGTCATATACCAGGTCCAAGCCTTGGCATTATACTCAGTTTTACAAACCATTACAGCTGTATCTCCTATATAAGTGATAACAGGTTTTTCTCTTCCTTCAGTCTTGGGTACTAAGAACAAGGAGATAAAAAATCAAAGAGAGAGATACAGGTTTTCATTAGTGTTACAAAGAACATATTTAGGTTGTTCATTTATAGTACTTCATTCACTTTTTCTACTTAAACCCTTCATGGTTCTATCATTCATGACACAACATAAATGACGAGTCATTTCAGCTGCTATTTCAAGTATATAATCTGTGCAGAACACTAGAGGAATCCTATTTTCAGTTGCTGTGTGATCTTGAAAGTTGCCAATTAATATCAAATGTCAAGTGAAAAAAAAATCAAACCATGATTTCTACCCTTGCCCATTTCCTCTTTCCCTTCCTTGGCAGCTGCAAGCTATATGCTTCAGTTCTAGTATACAAGAAACAAATAATTAATTTTCCTGCAATTTCACTCAATCTGAAGAAACTGATGGAAGTCTATTTCAGCTCAATGCAACTACATAATGGTATCTGACAAACTGTACATACAGAGAATGTTTCTGTAACTGAATAAAATCTGCAGATTGTTAGATATTTGTAGTTACAAACGCTTTCTGAGCTGAAGCAATGACTTTTGGTGTATGCCAATAAACAGGACTTTTGTTCCAATCTTGCTGAGGACAGAATACAGTCAACAAGAAATAAGACATCAGTTTAACTTTAGAGCTACTTGTCCTAGCCATTGTAACTGCTTGTGCCCCACAAGCTTCCAAAAAGATGTGCCCAGAAAGGCAGCTGAACATACACAGACTATCCCCCAGATACTGTTAGAGCTTAGCAAATGCATTATACTGAAGTATATGTATTTCCCCTTCCTTTCCCTCTTTATTAGGATTTTTACCAATAGGCTTCCCTCAGATCCACTCATTTTGAATTACTTCAAGTCTGATTGCTCTACTTTTTAAATACAAATCCTTTACATACTTTAGATTTTTGTGATCACACTAGACTAAACAGGCCAAGTATTTGCTTTCAGCAGTTATGATGAACTATTTGACACAAGCTAAAATTGCTCTTGCCTTCTCACCTTCCTGACCGGTGGGCACAAATTATTTTTTAACCAAAAAAGTCTGCTTCTCATGTGTATTCAAACTTAAGTTTCCTATACAGAAATATATAGGAAACCAATTTGCTAATAAGAATGCTGTTTTGAGTCTCAGAATTTGCTGCACCATACAACAAGACTTTACTAGTGAAGTTGTCTCACTCTAATGAGTGTGTTTTAATCATTAAACACTATCCTTTTGAACAGTGGCAGAGTATCTTCTGTGCTGTCATTAAAAGGGATGACCTTACTAATTACTGCTGCAATCTCCCTTGCAATGTAGAGAAGAGAACACACAAGCAGGTTGGGATAAAACACCCTGCATACCCAGCACAACAAGCTGATGCAGCAGTTGAAGAGATTTAGCCACACTGACAAGTGACAAAGCTCAGCTACAGGCATGCCACCAATACACGTGATTTAGCCACGATTACATGTGAATTAGCCATGATTAAGGAAATTAATATCTGTTACAACTTCTGGGATCTGGCTCTGTAGCAGTTAAACCTTGAATACACGCAAGGCTTGTCACAGGTATTTTTGCAAGTGGATCATACCAAATTTGGTGACAAAATACTTCTGCTGCACAGACAAAGCCAACTTTTGAAGAAACAGACAGGTGTCAGCACCAGCAAGCGCACCAGTCAGATTTCCACAGTTTTAAAAACCAGAGCTATTTCATGGTGCACGTATCTCAGAGCGCTGCTTAAGGGTCCCCTGAACAAAGGGCAAATAAATTAATCTGTTCTACTCTTTTAGAAACTAGCAGCACTTCACATTTTGTAATACCCATGAATGTCCTCTGTTGTTTATTAACTTCCTGTAAATATCTAATTTACAGGAATTTATCTAAATATCTGCAAATCTGAGTAAAAACGTAACTCCTCAAAATCTGAGGGGTTATGCCAGGCCAGGAATCAGGGGGGCAGGAGAGGAGAGGTAACACATCCAATAATCCCAAACTGCCCTGTGGAAAAGTTATTACTGTTAGTTACAGCAGTGATGACTTAAGTCACTGAGTCTATACCAACACATTACTCATCTTTCAGTTTGAAAATTGTTCTCCCTGCATTATTGACTGGAAGATTCAAGGACTTCTCTTTCCCATTTCCTTCACTATTGCATTAATCTTAAAAAGCATCAAGCCAGTACTTTTTATGGCATCAGAAGTGGCAGCATTCAACCATCATGCAGCTATTCTCTGATCTTCTTCTAATAAATCAACCAGTCCTATGCACTGTCCTGGAAAAGATGACTTTCCTCTTGAGTCATTGCTGCCCTTACCATAATAGTTATTGTGTACTTAGAGAAAAAAAAAAAAATAAAGTCTCCTTGGACTTTTTTTCATCTACACTGACTTGGCTGGCTGTTCAACTAAACCTTAGCCACATGCTGACAAGAAAAATACATAATTATTTTTTAGGGATTAAAAAGCCTGAATAAACTTAAACTTTTGTCTTTATTCAGCACTGCAAGCTAGTTTCTCCTGGCTGAACGTCTGAAAGCAGGTATCAATATTTGATATTTGAACCCACACAAGTTCATTCAAGTTCTATTACTGGCTATTCCACACAACAAAGGCAACTTGCAGCTGAAGAACTAGAGAGTCCCACTGCTTAATTTAGCTGGGGTTAAGGTAATGATTTGAATAGTTAGGGTTTCTCAGAGCCTGTGTTTAGGGAAAAACACTCCTATATCGGCCTTCACAGATTAAATTACTGCATTGCTCTTTGCAAAATTTGGATGGTATGAACAGAGAAAGGAGTATCTCCCATTACAGTTATTCATCAGCTCAGCAGCTTGTATTATCATTTCCACACATCTTCCACACAACTGAATTTCACCTAGTACTTCCAGAGTAACATTACTGGAGAACACAAAACAGAAGAAAGGGCACTTATGCTGCCCAATGAAGCACACTAATTGTTCATCTAAATACTATTCTTATAGTATTACAGAATAAAAGAAACATTGAAGTAATAATGTATTGTTTCAGAAATACAAATGCAGTTTTAAAAATCTTGCCTCCATTTTACCAATCATTACTTCACTTTTAACACCAAATCTCAGATTCAACTTGCAAACTATTTGCTCTGCTTTCTGAAGGAATTTCTGAGACACCATCCTTTTTTCTCATGCCCCAAGAAAGTAAAGTGTATTCACATCTACTGTAGAGATGGAGGAAAAATCAATTCGTCAAGAAGGGTGAAAATAAAAAAGACTTGCATGCTCTTTTAGTTACTAGAATTTTTTTTAAAAGGCTTTTAGTTTTTGGTTCAAGATCCTTCAATCCATGCTACAGAAATTACTTTGATAGTTATTTTCACTTAGTCTGACTCTACTAGTCATAACTTATCAAATTATGTTGCAATTTCCCTACTATCCAGAAAGAATATTAATAAACCTTTGCAGTGGTCAGCTGAAACAAAAATTTAAAATAAATACAAATTAATTAAATTACCATGCAAATGAAATGTAGCAGTGAGTTCTTTTTCACCTTTCAGAATACAAGTGTAACTTCCCAGCTGACTGCTTTCTGAGATGGTCAGTCTGAAAAAAAAGAAAAATCATTAATTTGGGGGCTTTTTAATATTTTCTCTTTTTACTGCTACAGGTGACTGCTAATTAGCATTCTAAAAAACCCAGTAAGAATTAGTAATGGAGTAGAAAACATCACTGCAACACTAGTATTCAGGTTGAGTGTAATGCAAAAACAGTGTAATGTTTTTAAGAAAATGGAAAAGCACAAGCACACTTTGGATCATAAACACCATTTTCACCCTTCACACTGACAGAAGGCCACCTTTATGCAGCATTATCACAGATTACTGAATTGGACATGGGTTCACCATCTGAACTGTGAAGCGCATCCTATATAGGGCTTCAGGAAGAAGAAACCATTTAAGTAATCTCATCAACACAAAAAACAGTTTTAAAGAGCTTTCATCTAACGAAGAACAGCATCTTCTTCACTGGCAAACTATACATTCTACTGTCACTTTGAGAAAGATCTACTTGTCTATGTATATGGAGTATCAGGAAAGTAACAGTTTTATTCTTATTGTATTTTCTACAACCGAAATTTATGTAAATATTACTGCTCCTAAAGCTATAGAGAAATCAAATGACAACTAGTCAGTTAAAATGTGTAACTGGCCTAATTCTAAAGAACAATAAATTGTATCAATTGTAGAAAGGCTTCTACAACATTTTTTGAGTTTCTGTAGAAATCTGGAAGACTTAAGAAAACCTTCAAAATATCTTTACTGCAAAATTTCACATCTACCTTTTGTTAACTATGAAGAAAAGAAAATGACCATTGCTACCTTCCATACTCTTGCAAAGCAGCAATAAGGTGGAAAAGAGCACATGGAAAATTAGGGAGTAGAAAAAGAAATTGCTAAAATATTTTAATCTCAGACTGATCATTATTTCACTTACTGAAAAAATTGTTGGACTTCAAGGAACTGTTTCCTTATTCTATGTTCTTTTTTAAAAAAGAAGAACTTTGTTTTTCATGCACTAGAGGAAAAACAGGAGCAAACTTTCTCCTTTCCACCAGCTTCAGTATGTTGATTAATCTTTGCATTTGTCCATTTTCCAATATACACATTACTAGTATTGGGCAACATATATAATATGGTAACTCACTAGAATCTGCAAATCACAGTGTAAAGAATGCTACTTACTGGATGCTCCAGCTGTTCTGAGTTTTAGTGGTGTGACTGATTGTTTCACCTCCCTTTTTCCAAGTCACTTGAGGATTTTTCAGACTGGAATCCTCACCTAATTTGCATATAAGTTCAACTTTAGTTGGACTGGCTACAGAGATATTTTTTTCCACTGGAGCACCTGTAAGAAAGTTTAAGAACATTTAATGAAAAAAATGCATTTCCTCAGTCTGGGCAAAAAAACTTCAGAGACTGTGTTTAGATATATAGGATTACAGGTCAACACAGGTGCTCTTTATACTCTCCAGGACAAAAAAGCCCCTGCAAATACGTAAAACACACTCTCATTTTGCAGTTAAACTTCCTAGAGGGCTCTAATATAGAAGCATAGATAATCAATTCACTGAGAGCAAGACAGACTTAAGAGACAGACTTAAGGTTTTACATTATTTAATCCACACAAAAAATATTAAGTACTTAATATGTCTATAGAAAATTACATTATTAGTGTCAAGAAGGGTTAAGATATAAGTATATATAACCATCTGGATTTTAGCCAGCTGCAGATTTTTATGATACTGTGAGATCCTATTGCTAGGGAAGCTATAGATAAAATGTACACCCTTAACATTGCTGGATCAGGCCTTTCATGATGCAGTTACTCAACCTGACACAAATCCTCTTCAAACCCATTTAGGGCTGCCTTTGCCTTCCTGGCAGGTCAGTAGAATTACGGAGGGAAAATACTCCAATACAGTAGAAAAACTTGTCAGTTTTTTGCCTTCCATGAGCATAGGTTCATAAAAACCTAAAATAAGCATATCCAAAAAGTAGATTAACGGCAGATATCTTCTCCAATCCATAGGGAAAGCCTTTTATAAGAAAACACTTTAGATGTAGTACTTGTTAGCAGTGACATTTCATTTCATAACTGGCCTTTTCTTTCATGCCTTCTAGACAGAAGTTCAGTTAGTCATCTAACAAGAAAATTTATTCATGCCTCACTTCAATTTTAGATGTACTCTGTATTATTTGGTGGTCAATAAAGTGTAGGTGTATTACACAGCTCACATTCTTTCCAAGAGTAAATGAAGTTTTGAAGTACAGCTCACTGACTTAGCAATGCAAGTCATACCTATGCAGCAGCAAAGTCTCACTGGAGCGATAGCACCAGATCCAGAGTAAGTGAACTTTACCGGGTCTGGCAGAGACATTTACAACCTGAAGAACAGCATATCCAGAATTGCAAGTCCCAGCCAAAACACTTCAGATCTGCTGAACTGGAGATAAACTTAGAAGTGCAACATGTCAGTTTTCCATTGCAGAGCAACATCAGTTACTGAAACTCATTTATTAGAGCAATTAGGCTGAATAAATGAGCCAAGCATAACCCAGCTTGTTGAGGTTGCTTATGATCAAAGTAATTTTACAACTGGAATTGGTTTCACAGCAGCAAGAATTTTACAGTCAGACTAATTACACCAGCTGAAAATAATATCTGTCCTTTATGAAATTATTTTAAAATTAAATCCATCCTTTGAATGAATGAAACATAAAACCACATGGTGTTGAAGATTAACCAATAGGAAGACTGATTTTTGGGGCATCCCTGTACTAAGAGTACAGATACCACAACAGGAAACAGACAGTACTTTAAGTTTCCCACTAGAAGAAAACGCAGCATAAATGCTGCAAAATTACAGCCTTAAAATATCACGCCAGTATTTTGCAAATCTTCCAGAGATAACTTCAGTTAGATCAGTTTCTCCAGCTAACCAAGAAATAATAGGATATTATTTGGCAACTAGGAACTTTGTATGTACTTTAGGAACAGGTTTATTTTTGCTGTTCTTCATGCTTTAACTTGTGCAATGTTGCTAAGCCAACACCTGCTGTTCAGCAAGTACTCTAGCTTTTGTGCTCTCTGCAAGTGGATTCACTAATGCAAAAAGCTATCATTTCAATTGATTTGGAGGAAAAGAGTTATGAATTAGTTTTAATGAAAGTAGCAATCTAATTCTCCACTGAAAAATAGGTATTAGAACAGGGAAGTTAATAACAGCATAGATGTACTAGCATAGATGTACTTACTTTTTAGTGGGCTCATCACATACTCACTGTGAACATACTTACTTTATCAAGAACCTGCCATTCTAGATGCTCCTACAACTCATGGAAGTTTGCGTGTACTTACATTCAATATAAATTAACTGGAAGACAAAAAATAATGCACTCACCAGATAGGACTATCTCATATACTGAGTCCTCCTTGCTTGCTGGCTTGAGCTCTTGTGTGGCAACATGAGGACCTAACAAGATTTGGGCAGAAACAAAGTTAAGTTATCCTATGTAAGTAATCACACAGTAGCATCAATGTGGTTTGGCAATTATCAACTATAACAATCTTAAAAGGAGAAAATGGACCTTGCCAAATGCTGACTAGGGTGCAGATCCTTTTATAGACCTGTGTTAGCACCCATAATCTTAAAGCAGCAGTGTTGTGGGGTTGCTGTTATAGCAATTACTAGATAATTGCTAGATAATGGTTTTTAGCTTTATTGTTATGTTGAAATTGTGAATATCAGTGAAAAAATGTCAGAGCTACTTTACAGCCTGACTCAAGAAGTCACCTATTGCCTACATACAGGACTTCTACATCAATGTCTAAATGGTTCTTGAAAAAAGTTATAAGCTTTAGAAAAAATTAATAAAGCCAAACCAACCATGCAAGAAAAACAAAAAACCACCCAACAACAAACCCCAGAACAACAGAATGCTACCATTCCCAAAGCTACTACAATCTAACAACACAGACAGGAAGTCAGAGGCAGACAGTCTAATCTACAGTGCCTCTTTAATGAATGCAGGGTAAGAACACCTTGTGGTTCACTACAAAATGGTCAAAGATACTCACTGCTCCTCAAAAATTCTGATATATAGCAGGCAATGCCCTTCTACAAAGGAAGTGTTAACCAACATATGTCTGACCTAGAAATATTTTTCTCCTTTTGTGAAGAAAACCTACATTTACAAGGTATATGGTCACCAAAATTCCTTTTTGGTTCAGCTCTGGATCACATACCCTTTAGAGCATATGAGATCTTTTATAAAGCTCTACAAAGTTTGATACAGCAATTCTTACCACAGCCTGTTCTCATCACCCATTCTCATGCATTTCAAGAATAGAGAAAGAAAGCAAATTAATAAGCTGCAGCTCAAACAGATGTAGCCCAGCTACAATAATCTTCTTTTAATAAAGGTGATGAAAAGAGAAATAGATTTAACCACCAGCCCAAAAGATACACTAAATGTTTTACACCATACATGCTTTTACCCACTTGGAAAGTAATTTCATTGTCAAATGTTTCATAATGCATGGCAGAAAGGTATGAACAGTAATTAGAGACTGATTCTGCCTAGTCACACAGCATTATAAGAGAAAAACATTCTGGCTTTTGTCGGAGAAAAGCGGCTTGGTTACAGCATGGATCATAAAGATTCCCAATCACAATTGAGAAGACAGAGGAACTGGGCTACAGCTTTAGCCCTCCCACTGAGACGTGCACTGGGTAGCCAAATTGATCACTGCAGTAGAAATAGCACCTCAGAAAGCCTACATCTCATCAGTATTGCTCCTTCTCTTTCCCTGCATAAAACACTGAACTCGCAGGTAAAGCTCTTAAACACTTGCCTCTGATCCACTGCTGAGAGCATCTGGCTGTGTTGAAGGAGGTCCCTGCTAGTGGTTTGCATCTAAAGGCACAAGCAGAGGTACATCTGCCTTTTCAAGTTGTTGGCCAGTTTCAGAAAACATCCTATCAAGCTCACAGCACAAGGAATTCTGTGCCTCAGGCAATCAACCTTTCTGCCAGGCTTGCTCCATCTGCATTTTCATACTTTCCTTCAAGCCTCAGTTTAAGCAAAAATAAATGTGTATATTAAGGTGGTTGGTAATGAAGAATAGAACTTCAGGCTATTTCATTTGGTGTTGTTGACAGCAGATTGTTGTCAATCTCAACTGATAGTAAAAAATGGCTTTTTAAGCAGAGAAATCAAAACTGTCTTCAGCAGTAGACAATAGTCCTGTTGGCCCTAGACAAGAACACAACAAGCCTCGATCTCTGCCCCATGGAGAAGTAAACCAGTCCAAGTGTTTACCCAGGAAATAATATCAAGGCTCAAAAGTTCTGGCAGATCTTAGCCTGCCTGTGTGCACAAACACTCAGACAGCGTGACAGACTTGTCACAGATCACCTGAGTTTATGTCAGTCCAGTACACTCATCACCTGCTTTTTTACCTAAATCTCTCACAATGATACATTCAGAAGGCACCAATGCTAGTTCATATGGTAGATCAAGCCACAAAAAAACCTCATCAGCCTTTGAAATGTCTTGCAACAAATAGGATTTTCATACTGGCTTTCTTCCTCTATTCACATATCAAAAGGAAATACTGAGGTGAGGTCATATTATATGAAACACTTTCTATGTTTCATAAATGTGTATGTTTATGTATGTAGAGAGTTATTCAATTTAGTAGCTATTGCACTCCTACTTCTCACATTGTGCTAAAAACCTCCTAAGATGAACAGCAGATAAATACCCTTATCTCAAAAAAAACTCCAACTTGCAGGTGAAATTAACTTGCCAGCACTTGACTGAGTTCACATAGAAATGTAACTTAGCTCATATTTGACTTGACAAGTCAACATGAGCTCTGGGACAGCACTGAAATTCTGATTCTCTGATCTTTATGGAGAAAGGCAAAGTAGAACCAACAATCATTGGTTTCTTGTCCTGCCTGGAACTTATTCTCAGCTCCTTGTTAAAAATACAATTAAGGTATAATGGACAACAGACAGTTTTGACACAGCCCTAATTAAGAAAGATTAAGCTAGCAAGCATGGTGATGCAAGGGCATTTTTACGCCTTTCAATAACACACAGGCATAGCAAGCTCTCATATTAAAAAATTATTATGTCTAAAGGCTAGAACACAACTCCCTGCAGAGGTACTAGTGTGGGCACTGTCTGACCTCCAGGGTCATTGCCTACTTTTAAGGCATACATGTCTAAGGGCAACAGGTCATGAAAATGGCAGTTGCATAGCTTTTTCCAGTTCTGGAGATACCCATGACACTCAAGCTCTTGCAGTGGCTTTGAAAGACCTAGGAGCTGTATCTGTTTCTTCCAAAAAGTCACAATCTTATTTCAAGACACTTAACTGTGAAAATGTAAACTCTATATGATAAACTAGTATCAACACGAGAAAGGCATATAGTTTTAAATGTACTGAAATGAAACAATTACCAGATGATTCATGTCCAGGTTGCATCTTAGTGACAGAATTCACCTGTGTCTGACTTGAATCTTGTGTTGTCATAGCTGGATCTGAAAAAAACCAAAAAAAACAAACTGAAAACACCAGAAAATGTTTAAAGAAACTTAAGAGTTAGTAAAAGCTAGTTCATGAAAATAATTCCAGCAGAATGTCCTCACCTCAGCCTCTCCCCTCCATTTTTTCCCCAAGTTCTGAGCATACACCATTATAAAATGCACAATAATTGTTCTTCATTAGTTGTTTAGCTCACTTTAGGCAAGAAAAGATTAAAGAATGGAGACAATATTTGATCTCTAATTTCCATAGAGTTCTTGCAGTTAGCTTATGGCCAAGAAAAGCTATTCTCAGAATGTCCCAGCAAATTTTAAACTGTACTCACATCTTTTCTGTTCATGGGCTTTAGAAACACCACTTAGGCCACTGACACTGGTTAATAACTTCAAACTGAGATTAGCAAATTTTCCAATAGAGTAAGGACTTCATAACAACCTTACAAATCTAGTGTGATGAACAGGCAATGACCATATCCTCCTTTGCTTCCACTAGCAACTCAATAAGCAAAAGAAAAGACATCTGTATCAAACATTAACTTCAACATCTAACACTAATAAATATTTCCAACTTTCCTCACTACCACACTGCAAATTTGATCCTGCTCCAATGATACAGTTTTTACAAGAACCATTTAAGAATCTAGTACGCTTTAATGTTCTTGACTGGAAAAAGAACAGGAATGAAAGAGGCAAAGGATTTGGTTGCAGTTGTGTCACTCTTAAAAACTCAAAATATCTAGGTGTTTTAGAAGAATGGAAATGTCTCCTCATTCCTTTATTTCCACATTTGGGTGACAGAACTAGTGTTTATTTTGTACTATCTTCACTGACAAACCTATTCCAGGACATAGTTTAGAGCCACAGCACTATTTATAGAAAGTGATTCAGCCACAAGAGGAAAAGAGGACATGCATTTTGCATCTGTAATTGAAGTCTTGGGAGGGGGGTGGAATTGGGATCATGAACTCTTCTGGACACCCACGACAGCAACAAACATGATCAGATCACAAAATCACAGAACATTCTGAATCTGAAGGGACCCACAAGGATCCAATCCAACACTTAAGTAAACAGTGAAAAGCTACATCATATATTAAGTGCATTCAATCTCAAATGCACTTAAGTCAATTCAGACTTGAGAACCAGATACTTTCTGCAGCAGATGAAGTCAGCACTCTGCCATTTCACAAATGAACATTACCTACACGCCTACCTCATTTCAGCACCAATAGGCAGAGACAATCTATAGATTTTCCACTGGAACCTCTAGTACACAGTTACTCCATTACTGCCATGCTTGGCTTACACCATCTGCAGTCTCCATCTGTCCATCATATTTCAAACAGTTTGGACCAAGAGTAAAACATGGTAACTGAAAGGTATGATTAAAAGAATTAAGCAATACTGGTTCTTAACAGCAGCCCACTTTTTTTATCAGTCCACTGGTCCCACAGCCAGCTGTTCCCTCTGAGCCCTTCAGCTAAGAAAAGAACTTTTAAAATCTGCTCTAAGGATGTGCTAGCCTATGAGCCAGACATTAAGAAGACTGAGTCTTATTCTTTGCCTGACAGAGGTACTGAGCACAGAGAGCTATTATTTTTCTGATATTCATAGTACAACTGAAGAAAGGCCCAAGAATTTTTATAACTGCAGCATCTTGAGGCATTTTAAGTATGTCATGGATCACCTGCACATTAATTAAATCCCCAAAGATGATAAATTTAGAAGGTGCCAGTGCCAAGCTGTACAGCAGCTCTGTTATCTCTCTGCAATAAAGGCTGATAACCTGCAATGTGGTTTGCATACTAACAGGGTTCTCATCTTGGCTTTCTTCCTTTATCCATGTATCAAGTAAAAAAAGTCAAGCAGTAGTGTTTTTTGTCACCCCTGCTTCCAGATCTTTCATCTTATCTGTGCACATGTCAAACTACATAGAACAGAGATAACATTGCACCACTCTCTTCCTCTCATGTATACTTGCTAAATAGCACTGGTGATCAAAATGTGCCAGCACTGCATTATAAGTGTCATCCAGCCAGGCAATGATGTAAGCAAGTCACGCGGAGTAATTTCTCAAACTATTGAGTCATGGCTGCATGCCTTAGCCTATACTTCTTCTGCACTAGATTTAATCAATAGTGTGATAGGCTATAGAGTTCTCATCTACTTGATTTCCATGCAGGAAGGAATATGCAAGTGTATGATATCATGAATTTAATTTTCTACATTACCTCTGCTCTGTATGGTAGTCAAAATTTTGGGAGAGACAAAAGCATGCATGTACCATGCTTACTATTACCAGAATAACTTCAGGATTAAAAATTTCCTTGCTCTCTTTCAGCCAGAAAAGCAGCTGAGTAAGAAAAGGCTGAAATAATATTTGGTTTAACATCTTTATCTTACTGCTTAATTTAATACCAATCAGATGCTTTTTAAGTTCACATGCAGTCAGTAGCATCCAAAACCAGCCACCAGAACCTCCTAATGCCCCAGAGACATCAGAGAATCAACATTAAGGCCTTCCAAATACCCTGATAAAAGCTGTTCCCTCAGGTCAAACCAGAAAAACACAACTTGGAAGCAAAGTCTGTAAGGAATGAGGTGTGCTCTACACTTACAGTTCCTTGAATTCTTCAGGACCAGAAAGTGAGAGATGTGGTGGGATTGCTTTTCCTAAATCAATCTGGCAACATTTGCTGCAACTAAATTAAGACAACCACAAAGGAAATCAAAGAGAGCAGCAAGATCCGAACAAGTGTTCTGACACTCAGAACTTACTCTTTATGTAAAACAAAAACAAGAGTTTAGATTTTTCCAAAACAATTAAGTTACATGACTAAGATAAGAATAATAAAATAAGTATCTTCTTCAAGATATTATCTCAAAATAAAAATCTAATAAGGCTTTTGCAGAATCTGCCTCACCATCTGCAGACTATGAATCCACTTTCCTCTAACTCAGTTCTTGTATAGCAAGTGTTCCCTCTGCTTACTTTTATTGCAAGCATTTCTTTTGGTTGAAGAGCCCTCACATCCCCAAAGCAAACATGACTGCTGGACTTCACTGGAAAACAGTTTTAAGTTCTTCTCCTTTCAAGTGACGTGAACTTCCCTTTGCTGCAGCTTGCGTAGATAATCCCCTGTGCTCAACTAGCTTTATACACATTTAGTTAATAACCAGTGAAAGAGTAAACTACCATTTTTTTGTTTAAATCATCACAGAAGTCACAGTATGATGCCTCCCTATCTAGTTCATACAGCTATAAAAACAGTTAATAATACAAGTCTGGAAAACAGGTTTACTCTATACAGATGAGAAGTACTAAAGCTAGTGGCTTATTTTTGAAGCCTGCTCTAAGCCACACAATACATATCACTTAAGGAAGATGGTAGATTTGTGGAATTTTTGGAAACACAAAAAAAGGTTTTGCTGTTTGATTCACTTGTTTTGTTTTTTTCCCTTGAGGGGCTATAGTTTTATCAATGGCTTTACATAAACTTAAAGTTGCTTCAGCCACCATCAGGTATGCTTTTTGAAATTAACAGCTATCAATAATAAGTATCTTATGGCAATTAGCCACATGCTGACTCACACATTCCTACAAATATCACACCATTTACACTCATAAAACTTCTCAATTGAGTAAACTGTTCAAAAGGACTTAAGTTCTGCTTTTACATATATATATATGCACATGTATTTTAAAGAAGACTTAATAGCTACAAAGTAGATTTTTGTCTTTGTACATACTTAAAAATGCATTTCAAAGGAGACTTGAGAAGTGCAAAGTATGTTTCCTTTCACATTAACTACAAGAAATTTTACAGACAATACCATCACCTAGGGAGCAGAACTGGTCCTCTAGGTACTAGGAAGTGCAACAGAGACCAAGAAAACCTAACTGCTTTTATTTCATACACTGAAAATGCAGCTAAACCACAGTGAATTCAAGTCACAGCATTGGCGTTCACATACAAGTATGTGTATGCACATATACACAGGACAGTACTCTTGGCCCAGCAAGATCTGCTCCAAGAATCTCACTCGGAACAGCAAACACCAACAGTCTGGTAATTCTTACTAAAATCGCTCTCTACTACTGTGCAACGCCTCAAAAAGAAGAGAAAATTAACCGAAATCCACTAGTTTTAGAAACATGATCGTATTTCCTGAGAAGCAGCTGGCCTGCTCCTGAACTGGCGAAAGCCTCTAGAGGAGGAATGGGGCCCAGAAGGCTCAAGTCCCTCTTTCTTCATGGATTTTAAATGTAATTTTTAAAACCACAATGCAAAATCCCAAGGAGCACCCCTCATAACCCATTAGGCACATTCGTATCTCAGTAATGTGATCTGAAGAGGGGTTTGCGGAGTTTTTTTCCAGCATTTAAACACTTTACGCAGTGAGGACCGGACAGAAAAGAGACACAACACCACACCTTCCCAATCATGCCCCTGTGATCTAATTAACCCTTCCATAAGTAAGGGAGAAGGTGCTGAGGCTACAGGACGGCTGATCACCGATGCGGCTCTCCCCATCTGCCACCGCCCACCACCTCGGTGCGGGGGCATAGCGAGAGCGGAGCCCCGCTGTCCCACGAGAACCCCGAGCACTGAGGGAGGCAGGGGCGCCGGGCAGAATCGGAGCCGTTGAGAAAAAGAAACGCCTCAGCTGCTCCCACAGGCAAAGCCGCCGTGCCTGGGCAGCGCTACGTTCCCCCAAGTCGGGGGGATGCTGCGGAGCAAGGAGGACTTTGCTCCCATACAGTGCTCCAGTCCACCTCGCACCGGCCCGCCGGACACAGAGGGCGGAGGGGGCCCGGCCCGGGGAGAGTTTACATTTACCTGCAGGGTTCCCGCCCGAGACGCTGGTGCCAAGAAGCAGTAGCAGCAGCAGGCGCCCCAGGCACCACTCGGAGAAGGTTGAAGGCATGGTGCCCCCGCCGCGCTCCCCTGGCTCGGCCCAGATCCGCACCCCGCGGGTTTCACCACCTGAGGAAGCCCCAAGCGGGCCGGAGCGGCTCTGCGGGAAATCTTACCACTCCAGCAACGACAAGGACAAAATGCAAAGCAAAGCTGCCCCAAATTCACTGGGAGTTAAAAAAAAGGCCAAAAGGCCGCGGAGGAGGCGTTGGGGCCACAACCGTTCCCCTCTGTGGGAGGATGTGCTCAGCGGCGGGCCCGCCGCGCTTTAAGTGGCGGAGGAAGGGCGGGGGCGCGCACCGGTGGCTAATTGGACCGAGGCCTTATCGCCTCAGCCGCCCGAGAGACCCTCAGGCACCGGGAGGCTGACCGGGCAGGTAGGGGCACAGGGACTTACTTTTGGCCCCGAAGGGGTAGTGGCTGCAGGGCCACCTGGGCAGGAGCACCCCTCGGCGGCAAACGGCTCCGGCAGGTCTTGACCAGGAAAGGTTGCCTGAGGCAGAGCCTGTGTGTCCCTGCCCTTTGGCTGGCAATCTTATGGAGAGCCCAGCTTCAAGGGTCAGTGGCTCCAGGACAGCTGGGTTATACTGTATGGGACTTGCAACTCTTTTGCATCCCTTTTTCTAAATCTCCCAGCTTGTGCAGCAGTGCCCAGGGAGCATCATTTCTAGCAAAAGCTCCTCAGGTTTTTGATTATAGCTAAGTAAAACTATTTGCGCTTTTTTTTTTCTGTATACGTGTGTGCTTACCTAGTAAACCCACTCATCTGTATGCATATATTAATATATGTGCATTATATGCATTTCTGTTTGTTGCTTGGTAAATAACAATTCTGACAGTGCAAAATGGACTCTAGCAAGGTGGCATTCTCTGAAAGAATAACTTCGTGATGGGGTACTTCCTGGTTCTTCCTTCTTGTCAGCTTCGGTTTATGCAGAGGTTGTCTAAGAGGTTTGTATCAATGATACAAAAAGGTCACTGTAAAAAAGCCCTTACATCGTTTTAGCTCGCTATGCTAACAGAGCTGTAGAATTTTATGCAGAGTACATGTCCAGTGTGATGACTTTACAGCACCAGACATGTTCATGCTTCCGTCCATATTTTCCAATACCAATACAGTGATCTTCAGGATAAAATTTTCATTCATAAAAACTCCCAGTAAATACAACTAATGGCAAAAGAGTAGGAACAGGACTGTTTTGTTAGGCCCTTTGCTGTGTGTTCCTGAGTACTAACAATGCAATGTGCTGTGAGGAGAGATTGAACCTCCCCATGTTTGTTAATCTGCCAGCCTGCTAAAACTGCACAGAGTGATGGAATTCAGAGAGAGAATCCAATTCAGATAAAGCTGTTTAGGAATGGTAGATGATCTTAAGCTTTTAATAGGAAAAAATTGGCTGGCACCTGAAAGCTGTTTTATCTGAACCAGTTAGGACTGAAGAGACTTATCTCTTGGTAGCGGGGGAGGGTGAGGGATAGGAGAGGAGAGAGAGGAGAAGGAGAGGCAGAGAAGTGTCAACCACGTAAAGATATGAAAGGACTGGCTTGTAGTTCCAGTTAGCTCTCCTTGGAATTGGTGAAAACTTTATATTCACTTTATTTAGTGGTTGGTTATGCAGTATCTTTTGGTAAGACAGATTTTATCCAGCTGCAGCCAACATGGATTGGTTGGTAGAACTGTGTGACTAAATACTGGCAGCTGGCACAAATGGATTTGCTGGGACAGTCCCATCTAGGACCTAGCTGTAGCTTTGCCAGCTCTTGCTCAATGGAAACTGCAGAGGTTCTGATGGAGACAATTTGTTTTGAGCGACTTAGTGCTTAGTCCTGTGTAGGACTGTCTTCTCTTTTTCACCAAGTTAACTTTGGAGAGCAGTCAGAATACGTGATGAACATCTTTGCAGGATTCCATCTCAGCTATTGTCATCTCCTAATGGTACATCCCACACTTAATGCTCAATTGAAAGAAAGCAATTATTAAACGGCTGCTGAGGGAAATATGTTTTCCTATACTCATGGTATGAGATACAGAAGGCACAAATGGAACAGTATGAAATGTAAAAAGAAAGGCAAAGGCAGGAGGAAGGATGGCAGAATGAAGGCAAAAAAGAAGCAGAGTTTAGAGGAAACCAAACAGCCCTTTAAGGGTTTCCATGCTCCAGAGTTCACCTTAGCATTATAATATGCTAGATTACTTCTTAAGAACTATAGCTATAGTTAGGTAAAATCATTCAAAGAATGAGAGGTTTCAGAAATCATAAGGTTAGTGATAACAGTGATAAAATAGAATATTTGGGATGTTAAAAAAAATCAACTATTAGCTTGCATTTGGAAACATTGTCTGTTGACTAATTGGGAAAAGTGTTTAAATTTTACATACCAAGTCTAATCTCTTCCATTTATTAATCTCCAGCATATTTTCCTCTTCTCTCACTTCCACAGAGACACTTACATGGTAGTTTCTTGGCAAATATGACTATTGTTTTAGAACAAGAATTCATATGTTGCATCATACTCTGGCTTATAAAAAAACTTATATTTTATAAAACCTCTGATACGTTTATTCAGGTGATTCAGGAGGATCTTTGCTGAAATTTTACATGACAAAAAGAAAGTAAATGAGACTGAATACTGTTATATGTTGATTATTGGCTGAATAAAAATGGGGATTTTAATTTGTAATTATAATTAAAAATTGTAATTTTTATAGCTCCTTTCCACTAACAACCAAATCCTGTGTTCTCAAAGCCCAGTCTTAGGCATTCATTTATTTAGTTAAAACAGTAAAATAACCAGAGGACATATGTGATCCAGCAGTTTTGTTGGCTGGAGGTTTGCTTTTTATAAAATCAGTTCAGATTTTGAAAAGGTGACTAGTGTGTATCTGAGAAGAGCTTTGAAAAAGAAGGAAAGGTCTGAAAACCATTTAAGGTGAAAGTTGACTTCAAGGGAGGGTGCTTAGCAGCTTTCAATATCTGAAGCTGAATCATCAAGACCTTATCAGGCTAGATTTTTCTTTTTTTTGGGGTATGAAATTTTTAATTCTAAAAGCATGAAAAGAAACATGCTTTCTTAAAATAGGAGTAAATTTCTAGTAAATAGGAGACACAATGTAGAAGTACTTTAGAAATAAGTTTTGCAAGCTATCAAGGAAATAATTTTGAACGGCCAGGAGATAATGTTGCTGAACAGTGAATCACTATCAAAAGAATGTCCTGAAATAGTTGTTATGCAACACATGAATTAGGGAATGAGTTCTCCATTCTGTGGTAACAGTCAGGTTATAATAAAATTTTTAGAAAACAACGCAAAATGTGCATGTTTCCGAGAGCCAAAGTAATATACTGAGTACCAGTACAAGACTACAGACCCAAATTTTATTGTCTCTGGCAAACATTTATCTTTTGCTTGTTCACTTTTAAGGATTTAACTAAACAGAAGTCTTGTCTGGATTTAAAATTACAGGCCAAGTTATGCAATCTGCATATTCTGCAGTTGCTTTCTCTGCACTGTCTGCATCCTGCTGAGTGGCTGTAAATCCAAATATCTTCTGCTACCTCCTTGAGGACAATTTGCAAGATTAAGCATATAATCTCTATTGAGAATTATCAAATGTTAAATGTTATGTTCTAAGATCAGAGGTGTATATGAAACAAAAATTGTGGCTATAGTGCTTTAGGATCATATGTTTTGAAAATCTTAGGTTTCTGCCAGTACCAGTTATTGAGATTGTCAGTGCTGAATATCAATACTGTCAATACTCAGTTGTTACTGTGAGGGGTTGCAGATTATGCAGTAAAGGTTTTTTTCACATGGCAAGCACACCATCATAAGGAACTGATATCCAAACATTCAAGCAAGATTTTTGGCAAAGAATTTCTTCGGCCCACTAGTCCCCTGCTTTCTGATATCTGAACAAAAATCAATTTTTTAAATGGAAAGTATAATGAAAAAGCAGTACTTTGTTGAAAACACAATTTAAATTGCAGCCTTATGTACAGACAAGAAATGTCTACAATCTGTTAGTTTAATGTAGAATTAAAGTTCACTGTGATACAAATGGATACCACCTCATCACAGCGTTTGCTTTGCAAGCTGTGTTTCAAAATTTGCAGAAGATATTTTAAATGATTCAAACAGGATCAGACTTCAAGGGAGGAAGGGAGGCAGTATCCTTCATTGCAGTAATATACTTGTAAAAGTAAGGCAGCCTCTGATCTGAATACAATTTAAGAACAGTTACTCTAAATCTGAATGCAAATGGAGAACAATTACTGTGATTGTAATTATGATGAAGGCATACAGGCGAGTCTCACCTACGGCTTTAATATCAACATGGAGATCATCTTTGATGAATATTTTTTACAAATTCTCCATTTTTTCTAACCTTTCCGACTTTTAAAAACAGCCTCTTTTTTGGCAACAATAAAAAGTCATGGGAATTTTATATATAATATTAATTATAAATGAAAGTATCCTCTATTCTGCTGCAGTAGTTGCCCAATTATTACTAATAAGTAGAAGCACTAAATTGTCTGAAGAACCAGGCCTTACTTATGTAATTACATTTGGGATACTTGGGGCTCCTACTCTGGAATGATCAATGTATCAGAATGCTTTCTGTTTCTTGTGGGTATGGTGACAGAGTGTAGACTTTTTCTCATCCAAATTATGTGTTTTATGGTTTTCCTGGATGGGGGGGGGTTTGTAGTTTGTTTGGGGTTTTTTTTGGGTAGTTGATAGAAACTTGGTTTCATCATTTTTTTAATTTTTTTTTTTTTTTTTAATTTGGAAATATGTTTGTCATTTTGAAGATAAAACCTGAAGACAAGGCAGCATAAAATAAGTAGCAAACAGCATAAGCCTTCCCTGGTGGAGGAAAGCAATCAAGTTAAATTCCGCTCCATTTATTTATGAGCAAACTTTAGTAAACTTTAGAAAGTCTGACAGCATCCTTTTACATTGAGCATTTTTTTTCCTTTAGTCATTATGTATTACTTTAGAAGGGGAAAATAGGGCTTCAGTGGAAAAAAAAAAAGTGAAGAAAGCTATGTAACTAAAAGTGCTATTTGTATTTCCAAAACCCTTTAAACCGCTTTTATTAGTCTTTTGCCATTTAATTCTTCTGTCTCTTAAATGAAAGCTAAAGGTTTTGTTTTTTTTGCTAATGACAGGACTCCTACTCCCAGTGAGGGAGCAGAAATAAGAAAGATGAAAAAGGTTGCAAAAGCCATAAGACAATCTTCAGCACTTTTACTAACTGCAGAGCCATCACAACCGAAAACAGAACTGAAGTGGAAGGAACTATGCCATCATTTGATCACATTAAAACTTTGCAGAAGGCAAAGGTAAGATATGCCCCTGTCCTCATCAGCACAGAGGCAGAGACCTCAGTCTGTGTGTATTGGACATACCTAACAGTAGAGGATCATCTGAATGAATGTGCATATTCACTCTCCTAAATTTTAAGAATACATACTCATACTGGTAGAGCAACACCATCTAAGACAGTAGAAACAAATGTACCCTAGAATTTCCACATTATGGGAACATATCCATGCTTATTGTACCATACTCTTCCTGTTAAAGAGAAAATTCAGTTTTGACGCTTACTGAGAATGATAATTCAGTTAGTTTTTAATTCACCCAAATTCAACATTTATGTAACAGAATGCAGAACTATTTAAATACTCATTGAAATGATACATACTTAGAACTGAATCCCTTAGTACTTTAATTAAAAAGAAGTATGTTGGTTCAGGGAGAGGTGGGCTTGGATAATTATCTTCATGTGTGAAGGAAAGCACTGTTTTAACATAGAACAGTGTGCAAACATTTCTAGTTCTTTGCATATGGAAGGGCTGTTTTCCAGTCTGCAAATATTTTGTTTGGAGAAGTGGAAAATATCAGGCAGGAGAGTTCAGAGGCCATCTGAGGCCAATATTAAGCCATCTGAGCTTTAATACTAAGGAAATTAATAAGGAAATTATTGCCTGTTGTCATAAGAGTGATTATAAAGACTCAGGTTTTGCATGCCAGGAATCTGTGGAATACTTATTTTTCCCTTGTTTTCTTTTTCAGGCAGACTATGCATCATAATCTTACTGTTTTTCTGGTGCCTAAAGTGATATGCATGCTGTAGTTCTGCATGGGAATAATTTTCATCCAGAGGTGTAAACCACTTCATTAGAAGCATCCAGTGGGATGAATTAGAGGAGCTCCTGTGCTAAGTCATCTTTTATCTTTTTAATCCTGTAAGTGCATAAATTTTATTTGACACTGGTAATAATAGAGTTAAAGTGGCTTTTTCAGCTGAGATTATGTCACACCAGAGTTCAAAGATGAACTTCTGAGTGTGACTTTTTAACAGCAGATTTGTTCTGCAAGGCATTTCCACAAAAGATTCATCAGGGTTATATTACAACTTGGGTAATACTTCCAGAAGCAAAGCACATACATATATATTTTTAAAAGTGGAAGTATCCTAAAATGTATTGGTGTATAGAATGTAGATTTCAAAGTGAAAAAGAATAATAAGTAGTTTTTAATTTTAGATGTTATTCAGCAATTGGCAATGTATTTCCAAATACTTCTCGTCTTGATAAGTTGTGGGAGGATTAAACAAAGATAACTTACTCTAATTGAATTTTACCTTACAATATAAATTTAATTAAAAAATTATTAATGAAGAGAAGAATGTGCACAGCATATCCATAGTGAAAAATCTACAGAGGTAATATAAATTTCTCCAACAATAACTGATAGCAACTTACCCTGGCTGATCTATGAATTTTATTTCTGGTTTTGTAAACCTCAGAAATACCAGGGGGAATGAAAGGCATATTTTCATTTTTTGTTGATCCAGTTTCCTCTGTAGTGTGTTTTACCTTCTTTTGGTTGTGAGAGTTACTGGAACCAATACTTAATTGTATTGTAGCATTTAAATATCTAGTGTCAGAATTAATTTACTGTAATTATTGAATTTTGATTGATTTACCCACAAATTAGAGTTAGCACTACTAAGATCGTGTTTTATAAGAAAAAAATAATTTCATTTGGTTTTTAAATAACTCGTATAAGAAGAACAATAATTTGTATCTCACAGTGGTAGGGCTTTAGAAAACATACTGCTAAGGGTTGCTTAGTTATTTGCTGGAACATTATGTTTCAGGTAAAAATGTTAAACATTCTACTTAGAGGATATTGGGTCTGATTATTTTATTTATTTATTTTATTTATTAATTCTGATTATTAAGTTTGCTTGTATTTCTGAGTTGGACTCAGGTCTGTCTGAGGGAAAGGTGATCTCTCCATGTGGATCCTATTCCCATGCTTTGCAACATTTAATGTGTTTTTCCTTACATCAGCCTCGTGGGTACTGTTAAGTCTAGTGAAACACAAAGTGGCTCACCCGAAATAACCCAGGAAAAGAGCTACATTTAACTATTCTTTTTTCTATTTTTTTCTGCCCCATGCCATGTTCTTTTTGATTCCAAGGATAAAGCTGAGTAGGTAGGAAAGGCTACTTAGGGTGCACTGGAAAAGTCAGAGGCATTCCCTGATGACCTTTATTACTCTTCCTTCTTTTAGGAGAGAGCAAACCTTGCCCTTTGTACAGACAGCATGTTTGGACTTGGCTTGGGAAGAATGAGAGTTGCAGTCTCTAGCACACAGTGCAGATAGCAGGTGAGCATCTGAGGCAGCAGACAGCTCTGTGAACACAGTAATTTTGATGAAAACAAATGTTTAAGCACTTCTGTGCATCGGCATTGTTGTAAATTAGATTCCAAGTATGACTGACCTGAAAACCGCTGCTCATGTTTTTTTAATCCTCTAGGACTTCTGCAAAGGATTTGATTGTAGATCTTTAGGGGCTTCATGGTTACAGATCTCCTTGATTTGTAGCTAGTGTATCAACTACAAAACTGCTTTCCTTTTAAGGCAAAGCTTCTTACAGAGGTGTCTTTTCTAGGTTTATGAAAAATTTTGTCCAGCTTTACTGTAAAAGTGGTGTGCTCATTTCTACATTTGAACTGTCTTGGCATTTTCAAACCAGAAATAAAATTTCAGTTATAGTTGTATTGATACACACTCCTTTTAAACATGCTTGAGAGTTTCATAAAATTATTTCAAGATTCCCATAAAGTTGTAAAGACAAAGCTTATTAATTCTAAATTACATTGGGTCATTTTCTTCTCTCAGTTATACACTCTTGAGGATAGCGGAGCTTCACTAGGATGATGCATCAAGCCAGGGGCAGTGCAGGTGTTAATTACGTTTTTAAAAATAATAATTAAATAGTTCTTATTTCACACAGAGACCATGAACTCCATGCAGTAAATTAATTGAATTTAGGAATAGGAAAATAAGAGAATAAATCTGGATTGCAAAGACACTGACAGAAATCTGTGACTAGAGTGGCTGGAAAATAAATTATACTGCATATCACTGTTTCATTTAATCTTGATAAGGGAGGTTGGACTAGATGTCCTTTTAAAATTCTCTTCCAACCCAACCCATTCTATGATGATTCTATACAGGCATGGGACAAGCTGCCTGCATTATCTAGTACTTATCAGTTTTATCAGTGCGTAATTCATCACTATTTCTACAACTCCTTTACAGCCTTATCCTTGAACAGTGAAAAACAGTTCTCAGGCAGTTTTCATGAGAGTGCACTAATTTTTCCAGCTGTTGTGTACTGCAGAAATAGCTCTGCCCACTGAAACCCTGTGAATCATGTATTTCCTTCCAAGTAGGAAAAGAAAAATGGCCCATCCATTGCCCATGAAGACCTTTGCACTATTTAACAGATCCTCAAAGCATGTGTGATGTCTGAGGCAGAAGCAGTACAGGTGTTATTACTGGAGAAACAGCAAACCTTGCAAGGGAAGGGCACCTCTATTTGGGATTGTAATAAGGAATATTTTCTAGTCCATGAGACACTTAGTTTTATCCTATTGGCTGAATGAGTGATGAGTATGCTGGTTTTGACTGCAATAAAGTTGTTTTTTTTCACAGTAGCTGGTATAGGACTGTGTTTCAGATTTGCTGAAAATAGTACTGATAATACACAGATGTTTCGGTTACTACTGAGCAGTGCTCATGCATTAGCAAGGCCTTTTCTGCACCTCACCCCATCTCACCAGCCATCCTAGGGATGGCTGAACATCTGCTTGCCAATGGAAAGTGGTGAATGAATCTTTGTGTGCATGGCTTTTGCTTTGCCTATTAAACTGTTTTTATCTTGAGCCACAAGTTTTCTCACCTGTATTCCTCTGATTCACTCCCTCATTCTGCTGTTGGGGGAGGAATGAGTGAGTGGCTCTGTAGCTGAATTGCTAGCTGGGGTTAGACCACAACATGACCTTTCAGCTGCCTTTATTTCACTTCTTTTTTCTTTTTTTTTTCTTAATGAATCTCTTTTCAAGTACTTTTTTTTTTTTTACAACATGCTAAGTTGATACCGCAATAAAGGAGAATGTAAAAATCTAAAGATTTTCCTAAAACTCATACTGTGTAACACTCAAATAATCCACATTTGGAGATTTTCAGAAGAGAAACTTTTCAAAAGAGACAGGATCTTATAATGGCAACCTGAAGTCAACTGAAGCCAGAAGCATCACACTTTCCAATTCTTTGTCTGCCAAGTATGCAGCTTATCTGATTCACAGTATGACTGTCCACATTTAGTCCTAAACAGAAATCCTCTGTAGTTCACAAAAATTAAAATTCTGGGCATTTAAAAAAGGAAGCAAAGTACAAAAGGGAGATCTCTCACAAAAGGGCTGAATTTCTCTGGGAACTGAGCAAACATTTCTCCAGAAGATTTCTACTGAGAACAGAAGGGCTATCAAGTAGCACTTTTATGTTTCTTATTCAGATAAAGCCTTTGTTCAGTGTTTGCTAAATTTTCCCTCTTAGAACAGAAGCTAGTGAAGGCTTCTAAACTGTACATTTGTTTATTTCTCTCTTGGTGTTACCTATCTGCAATATCTTTGCCATTTTTTATGTGTGTGCATGTGAATATTATCTGAATGAACAAGTACACTCATCAGCTATAGTTTTTTATTGGAAAAGATGAGATAGGGAATGTGAATATCATCCTTAATGCTAAGTTTATACTGTGGTTTGGTTTTTTTATCACTTTTCCTCTTTATAGACCTAGAGGGAAAATGCTGTCTATGGAATACATTTAGAGCATGAGCTACAGGCACAAAAAATTGCCTTGTTGGAAATATGCACTATTTTTCACAGTTTGAAGTAGCAGTTTTACTGTCAGTAGGCACTGATTAGAGAGCAGGCAGGAATGTGCTTGGGGTCATAATGAACAGTGGTGTGTGATTTGCTGTCCTATTAGCAATGGTTGAGTCTTACCCAAAGTCCATGTACTTCTGGCATGGATGAACTTCGACTTGTGTGCAGACTTGGGTCTGTATCTGGAAAACAGTGTAGACATATCTAAACTAGTCACGTTTATATAAACCCCAGCTAGCCATGAATATTCAAATCAGGCTTAAATTGAAACAAAAATCCTTTATGCAATGCACGATTAACTTTCTGAATGATAATGACAAATCATTAGTTTTCTTTCACAGATACCACTAAGTGCCCTGGGGCATAGCTCTGCAGGAAAGAAAACCTCCTTTTTTCAGGTTCTCCCTCATTATGTCTAGATAACTTCACTGATATACTGACATGCAAGCATACAGGATTCAGTGATGAGAGAGTAGATGGGTGGTGGCAGCTGTTTTATTTTGGGAAGTAAGGTGATCTCAACTCACCTGGAACATAAATTGACCTTTATGACAGTCTTCCAATAAACATATTTTTAAATCAGTCTCTGTTTTTCAATTCAGCAAGCTCTGTTAAGCTAACAAATTTACATATCTGCAGTGAATCAGTGGTGGGTTAAATTTGTGTATAACAGAAATCACTGATGCATACTAAGAAAAAGCCTTCTCTTTCAAAGACATCCAAAAGTAACATATATCTTAAAATCATACAAAATCTGCCCTTCTCTGGGTTCTCACCAAATCCTGTTACAGATGTATTTTATTAGAAAATAAATTGGAAAATAAAATTGGAATTGTTTTGACTTTTTTCCACTTTGTGCTGTGCTTTATGTAGGGCGCAATTATGCTTTCTGGCTAAGCAGATTCATTTCTGAACCTCAGTTTTGTCTAATGACCTAGCAGAACATCCTGGTCATAGAATAACAGAAGCCTTTAGGTTGGAAAAGATCTCTGAGATCATTGAGTCCAATCCTTGACTGATCACTGCGTTGTCAACTGGGCTATGGCACTAGGTGACACTTCCAATCATTTGTTGAACAGCTCCAGGGATGATCACTCCTCCACTTCCCTGAGCAGTCCATTCCAATGTTTAATATCCCTCTCTGTAAAGAAATTTCTTCTGTCTCAGTTCCTTTTGATGTCCAAAACTGGCACACCATCTTGTTTCCTGTATTTATGACACAAATCCACATTGGAAAAAGGGTCTGCCTGCTTGGGATAAATTTATCTCCCCCTGATACTCATAAATTGTGTCTCTTCTGAATTTCAGCTCCAAACAATGTTACGTGCCTGATTTTAAACATCCCTACAGCAAGGCTGTGTTTGGACACCACTTACTACCAGCAGGTGAGGATCCAAGGCACTCGTAGCTAGTTGGTCCATGTGTAGTAGACACTGGGAACACATTTTAAAACTGTAGTTCCCTTGTTTGTATTTGTCTTTGAAACTGAAGAGAAATTCCTGGGACTACAGTGTATGGTACTATTTTAAACAGATGAGAATTTAATGGCATTATAATATATATATAATAATATATAATATATAATAAGTAATGTGCTTTTTGTGTGTAGTTTTCAACCAGGTTTAGAATCCTAGTGTGTTTTGTTATTACACTGGACACTCATGTATTTACTAACTGCATCCTTTCATTCTAGAAGCCATCTTCCTCCAGAAACAGATTTTAAAGACATCCTTCTTCAAAAACAGATCAGCAGCCTATGCTAGTTTTATTTTTCTGAGCTATTTCTTCTTTTAGGTGGGACATGACTAAAAGTATTGCAGCTGTTTTTAAAAGTGCTTACATTATTCCTATACACTGCAATGTGCTTACACTCTACATACTGCAATAAAGTTTTGGCAAAAAAGCTCAGAATGCAACAAGAATTTATAGTGCACTGTATAAATTGTATATAGTACAATATATACATTGTACTATATACAATTTATGGAATACTTTAATGAAAGAAACAGCATTCACTCATTGCTTAGATAAGCTCATTTTGACTGCTGACCTGTAAGACAAAGGGAGAGGTCCTCATTCTCTGGTGACACTAAAAAACTGTGTAGTTTGAAATTTAAAAACGTGTTCTTGATCCTTGCTGGAAGCTACTGTATGTTTGGGGTTTTTCTAAGATTTGTTGTTTTGGATTTTTTTTGTGTGGAACCACATTTACCACTGGTTGAGGTAAATCATACATTTAGTAAAAGGCCATAGTCATAACATCAGTATTCCTAGTAACTGAATCTTACTGACAATCATAGAATGGTTTGTGTTGGAAGGGACCTTACAGATCACGTAGTTCCAAACCTGCCATGGGCAGGGACAACTTGCTCTAGACCAAAGCCCTATCCAATCTGACCTTGAACACTTCCAGAGATAGGGAGTCCACAGCTTTTCTGTCCAATCTGTTCCAGTGCCTTCTCACTCTGAAAAAAATTTCTTCTTAATATCTGATCTGAACCTGCACTGTTTCAGTTTGAAGTCATTCACCCTTGTTCTGTCACTGCACACCCTTGTCAAAAGTCCCTCACCAGCTCTCTTGGATGTCCTCATCAGGAACTGAAAGACCACAGTAAGGTTTCCCCAGAACTTTCCATTCTCCAGGCTGAACAGCCCCAACTCTTGGCCTGTCTTCATAGCAGTGGGGCTCCAGCACACAGATAGCTTTGGTGGCTCTGCTCTGCTCTCACTCCAGCAGGTCTACATCATTTGTGTGCTGTGGATCTGAGTGGATGCAGTGCTCTGGGTGAGCACTTGAAAGGGCAGAGTAGAGAGGCAGAATCACCTCTCAGCCTACTGGCCACCCTGCTTTTGATGCAGCCTAGGTTGGTTTTCTGGCCTTTGAATGCACATTCCCTCTTGACAGAAATATGCAAGATGATGAACAACAGTCATACGACTGTAGATCAAGAAGTATGAATGTTTTAACGTGGTCTGTGCAATTTTTTTCAGTTATCTCTGATAATGGCAACTCAGCTGTTGAAACTTATTCATCTTTCATGCCTATTATAGTAGGTTAGATGGTGACAGTGTTAGGTGAATTTAAAACATTTAGAAATATGAGAGAATGCTGAATACAGAATGTGGCAAGGAGTTCTTTTTGTTGCAGTCAATACAAAATGAAATGGCCTTAGAAACAATGCCTTGATTCCTCCTTATAAAGATTAAAGTGCATTATTTCAAACAGTGGAATGCTACAGTTAATCCTAGTATACCTACTTAAATTCTTCCCAGGACATTCCTGTAATCTGGTAATTAGTAAAGCAAAGCTTTAGTTATCTAATTGTAGTTGATAATTCCAGAGTTATAGTGATAGTGATAAATACATTTTGAAGAATTGAAGTGCAGGAGCTTTTGAGAGCATTCATTTATTTTAAGGAGGAAAAAAATACAGAAGTCTGGGTCAGATGTTCAAAGTTTGTTTGGCATAGCACATTGAAGTTCTGGATGCCTCGTGTTGAATATGGCACCCATCAAAGAGGATATAGTGGGAAAGGTAGGGAAACTATTTTTGGGAAAAAAATTTTTGTATATCTCAATATTTCTTGGTGTGCTTAATTATTTATTTCTTTCTCTTTTTTTTTTTTTTTCTGTTTTTTTTCTTCCCTTCTTGCTGTGTCTGCCCAGGCCACCTTGAATTAAGTGTTTTCCTTTTAGTAAGAGAAGTTGAGACTTGAGAAAATTGTTCGTTAGGGTGAGACTCATGTCTTTTTCTCCTGTTTTTGGTTCAACTATGTTCACTCTTTGTTTACAATCCAGTTGTTGTTTGAGATTTTGCCTCAATTGTTTATTTTGTAGAAGCAAGGAATTTATATACTCTTGCACATAAACACCTGCTCATCTATCATTATGCCAAATTCAGTACTACTGTCAGCAGTTTGCATATGTTTTTATGCTTGTAGCCTCTCATAATTTTTATCTTCTCAGGTCTTACATTCCCTCTCTCAGTAAGGGATTATCTATTCTTCTCTATTTCTCAGGTTTGTCATGAGACTCTTCAGAGCTTTGTTCTTTTAATAGAGTTCTTTCTGTCCTAGGTTCAAAAATACTTTTATTTTTGTTCCTATCTGGTTTTGTGAATTTTTTTCATTGTTTTGATAGCTATGCTTGTACAGACACTTTAGTATATTTTTTTTTTAAGGAAAAAACCTAAAACAAATCTGCCTTTGTCTCTCCAGTATGCTACTTAAAATACATAACAGATATTGCATGCTCAAGGTAAGAGTTACTTATACCAACATCACAACTAAATTGCACTTTCTAAGTTTAAAATTAGAGCAGATACAGAGATGTGTCTTAGGGATTGACCCTGACCTGAGTTGGTTGATGAATGAGAAACAGTGAAATGACATCCTCTCAATGTTCAAACTGGGATGAAATCCCAAACTTGGATGGCACTTGGACCACCTCAGGCTCCATCCCATCCCAGAGGGGGTCTCTCCACCCCCTCTGAAGTAGCTTTCACATTTGTTACAGAATAATTAAAGATTAATTAGGTGACAAAGGCAGACTGAAAAGGGGCATGAATCTGTGGCCATGTGGTCACTGGGGAGTGACTGAAAATATTCTAAATCCCATTTAGGTACTTGGTTCAATAACAGTTATTGAAACAGCATCTGGTATCAATTTTTAAAGTTTTAGACTTAAAGTGTTATCAGTAGCTCTCAACTCATGTGTTTCCTGTGATAGAAACATTTTTCAGCCATATGATGGGAAGCAGAAGAATCCCCTTTAGCAGGGGAAGATGCTGAGCCCATACCCCGAGGTGTTCAAGGCACTCTGGGTAAGTCCAGCACCCCTGAGTACTCCAGCCATTACATAAGCATTTAATCTAGTGACAGTCTAATTAATTACAGACCTTGAAATGTAGATCAAAAGAAGATCCTTGTGACATTAAATCCCTTTCATGTTCCTGCCAGCCCCTGAATCTCAGCTGTTGAACAGGGGCTTTGGCAGCGGTGGGGAGCACTGGAGGAGGAGAACCTGTAGCAGTATCTTGCCACACCGGAGTGTCCTACCTGCTGATCCCTCACTGGCTCCTGGAACTCCCTGCAAGGCTGTCCCCCAGCTGTCTTGCTTGGAGCTAGTGTTAGCAGACTGGCTGCCCTTGGGAAGGGAGCTGGTTCTTAGCAGTGCTGAAATCCTACCCTGGAACACAGGAGAACACCAGGAGGGTTATGGTGCAGTCTGACTGGGGATGCTGAGCACCTCAGTGCCATCAAAATGAGCGTGTGATGCACAGAGCCCTTTTGAGTGATGCCTATCAAACGCACAGCCTGTGGCACTTGGTGGCATTTGACTGCAAGGTAAGCTGCCTGCTAAATGGTATTTTCAGGCTGAGTAGAAAATTCCTCTTTGAACGCCTACACCAAGGACCTCTGTCTTCCCTGAATCTGGCCCAGGTTTGTACTAGTTGTAGTTTGATTGTTACGTACCTCCTAAGGGTTACACTTTCTCTAAAGGAATCACACACTAATTTAATCAGAAAATGTAATCTTCCATTGCCTCAATACAGGCAAACTCTTTTATTATTGTCACTGTGAACCTCCTCAAAACTGAAGCGCTTTTAAGTAGTTCAGTCTTTAAATATCCTCTTTTATTCTCATTCAAGAAAGTCTGGTTTTGATAACAGTCAAGGATTTTAGTTTTTTATTTCAGAAAAAAAAAAAAAAAGGTCCAAGGAGAAATATGGTAGTTTTTATTCGTTTAATTATGGGGGTATTTTCTAACATAGAACAGTGAAATCTGGCTAACAACATATAATTAAAGTAAAATAATTTTGTCTTTGATTTTACTGTTTTAGTGATTCTTGAAGTAAAAATACACCTCTGTGTATGATTTTGCTCACCCACTACTTTTAAGCCTCAGTAAGAACTGCTCCTGTTGTACAATAATCAGCATTTTGCCTATATTTTTATGCATGCAGTTTGTCATCAGTTTATGCCTCTTTAAGGCTTGGCTGCGATTTCTTAAAATGTCTGTTCTAGTTGTAGTGCTCAAAAATTACTTTTTCTTCCTGAAGCTCCTTGGTAAAAGACAGAAGAAAGCATAGTGGCAGAAGTATTATAAACTGAAGCAGATGGCATTTTGGTTTTGTAGAATATAATGAGGCTTGCACATAAAGTTAATTGTCCTATAACCAAGAACATTACTTGAACTATGATGAAACTCAACCAGACATTTCCAGGAAGAAGGATTTTCACATAATTTTAAAAAGTGTCAGTAAGTAACAATCAAATAAATAGAATAATTTCAGACTGGGAAGACTTGGGGAGGTCAACAAATAAGCTAATTCAAGGAGTTTGGCTGGCTGATGCTTTTGAAAATGATGACGGTGGCTATGTTTAAAATTCTCATTTAGACAGAAACTGTAATTCCATGTACTGAAACATCAAGATTAAGAGAAACATTGAATGGACTCATCCCCAGTCACTTCCTTTGGGAGCTGTCAGTAGCAGGATTAAATCAGAATTGACAAATATATCAAATGGTCATTTGAGAAGAGATTTGTTCATTTAAGTTGAAATAAGCTTTATCAATAAAAAAATGTAAATGTCTTTTCAGATCAAAAGGTAGTTTGAGTAAGGTGTTTTTAATGATCTCTAGCATAGTGTCAAGACTATTCTATTTGAATGGAGAAAAGTGCTTATGGTTCATTTTGGAGAAGAAATAAAATATGTGCTACTGTGACAGACTAAACAGTGGTGGTAAACTTATTACTTACCGTAATTTGCTGTAATTTTGGGAAGAAAAAAATGGTGTTAGATCTGAGCACTTCTGAACAGGCATCAGAGAATATTAATATATACTACAGAAACAAAATTAGTGTCTTTGATGTAAAACAAAAAGCATGCAAGATCCCCCTTGCTTGTTTTTACTTTTTTTTTTGTGTTTTTACTAGTCTCTGGACTGTCTTACCTCTTTCAGTCTTTCCCATTTTTTTTTCTGTCAACATATTCTTGGATTATAACTCTTTGCCATGGTATATATTTAAAATGTTGAATTTTTTTTATTCATTCATTGAGTGTGTGTTACTAAATTTTATGCAACATATACTGTGAACTTTATATAATATACAGAAAGAATTGTCAGCCATAAGTCTTGCATGTGCAAGGGGACAAAGTGTTCATATCTGATTATGCTGCCTTTCATCAGTATTAGTGGAACTCTTACTATAACCCAGTAGTGTGTAGTCTGCATATGCAGATGGCTCTTGATTCACTACAAAATAATTGTTTACAACAAACCTTTCTGCTTGGTTTTGCTTAAACTACAAGTGGTCATGTTTATGTTTTTTCAAATACTCAGGAGTGGTTTTTCATTTTCTCAATACAGAAAATAGCACTGAGTAGTAATGATCTAATTCAGAAAGAGGAAATCTCTAGTGCATATGAGATGTAAAGTAGTATTTGGAAGATAAATACATGATCTGGAACCTATACAGGGCGAAGAGGGGAGTTATCACAGGTATGATTACAGATTTTTGAAAGATAATATACTTTTACCAAGGAAATGCTGTTGAACTAGACTATCAAAGTTAAACTATGACACCAACAGAGGAGAGCCAGCAGACTCCATCTGGTCCTCCAGTGTCTGTGGGAGACTTTGCTTCCTTAATCTCAAAGCACAGATTTTGGCTGTAGCCATATAGGATATTTGTTGTTTCTTTCTCCAACAGTTCATCCAATGTATTTTCTGCCAGCCTGGACATTGTGTAATCACATCGTCTAGGCCCTTGTTTTACTGTAACTTCAGCTGAATGAACTTTATGCCTTTCAAAGGAAATCTGTCATTGCTTTTTGTTTCACTTCCCCCATTCCTGCTCCCACTGTTGAAGGAAACCTCTGCATGATGGAGATCGAATCTTCTGTATGATTGAAGCAGAGCTCACAGCCTGGCAGACAGCAGCAGCAGAAGAACGCATGGAGGTGAAGGTGTGCTATGGAGAAACAAACAGGTAGTCAGGGGACATCTCCAGCCCACAGCAGTAGGGAAGCTCATGACATTTGCAACAAGTCAGAAAGGGGGAATGGGTTTCAGAACAAAGGCATGCACTTTAGTAGGACAGGCAGCTTGCCTCCAGCTATAGAGAGAACAGCTAGGGGAGTCTACAGGAGCCTTATCTCTAGTTACTTACCCCCAACTCTGAGTGTTGCAACAATTTTTGTCATGTGCAAATGACAAACAGTTTTTGTCATTGCAAACATATTTTGTCATTACTTATAGCAGTGATCAGCATACTGTTGAGAGAGATGAGGGGATGCTTCTTGTCAGAAATTATCTAGAACTCAAGCTTCTGCTATAAAAGCACAGTTGCTTAGGGAAAAAAAAAAGTGAGGCAACTTTTAAATTTAAACCAAATCATCAGTTTCTGCTGTCCACTTGGCTTATGTACCTACCACATTTCTTTTCTTGTTCACCTGTTGTGTTGAACCCCACACACTTACTTCCCAAACTCCTCAAGTACCCCCATATCTTAAAAGACTCCAAGAAAAAAAAAATTGTACCAATCAACCTGATGTACAGTCCTAGAACTGAAAGAATATGTACAGCCCAAAAGCAATTTTTAGCTTTCAAAAATAATGAATATAGAAGGCCTCAGATATCTAACTGAATATTTCTAATGACATACAATTAAAAGACTTTTACTCAGATATCTATTATTTGCTATGATCTCGAGACAGGTATCACAATGAGATTTAGCAAATCTTTTTACATTTAATGAATGGATGAAGTTATGAAGCACAAACTTTTCTACCAGTTACATCTGGATGTAAATGAGAAAGTAACCACAGAGAATAATTAGAGAAAGCTGAAAACAGCCACATAAAAAGTTTTATTCTTTGTGCTCACAATGTGAAGCTTGATGCCAATACACTATCTTTAGTGTTAAAAAATAATTCAGGATAATGTGGATAAATTGACTAAATCTATAGCTGAATATCACAGAGGTAAAAGAATGAGTACAAGTGTACAGGTCTCCACACTCATTTATTTCTGAAGTATTAGGAATGCTACATTACTTTCTTAAAATGTAATAAGGCCATAGGACAATACGTAATTTTAAAATGTGAAGAATTTAATGGGGCATATGCTACTAAAGAAATTTAGTTTCTGAACTTGTGATCAAATGCTTGTACAACAAGTAACTATGCCTCTTTTCTCCTGCAATATTTCTTCTGAAATTTTCTCTTCATAAATGGTGTTTAGAACAATTTATTGGATAGTGTCTCCACTCCTCTGTAGGCAGCAAGACAATTGAGGGATCGTCTTAACAATGTTTGCTTCTATGGATCATTGAAGTGGGAAGCTCACTGCTGGTACCTGATTAGGTGAGACAGTGACATTTGTTATTTCAGGCTGCAAGGAGGCTTGTCTTGAGGCTCTGTGCCCTCATAAACTGGAGCACACAGATCTATTCCCAGACTATCTGAAAAATAGAGACTGATGTTTACCTTGTGAGGATCATTCCTTCCTGGGTAGTTTGTGTCCTTTCCCACTTGGCAGCCTACCTATCTCCAGGTTCCAGCTGTTCTGATTACCTGTGTGTTAAGGAAATAACTGAGACAATTGCATCATGTTTTGTGGCCACCTGTTTTCTAAAACCTCACTTGGTGACGAGTTACTTTGTCATCACATCACATGTTTCAGCAGTACAGCTCAGCTAGTGTTTTTTAGGACTTCTGATGTGAAGTGACATGTTCTGTACTTGTAAACAAAGAAGGTCTATATTGTAGACCATAGTGTTTATGTTCTTGTGCAAAGGGTAGGTAGACTGCTTGGCTCTAATCAGTGTATTCATGATGACATTTGGACTTGGGAAATGTCATAATTTGACACTGGCCCAACACCAGGCACCCACGAGAGTTGCTCTCTCACCCTCCCCTGCCACAGCTGGGCAGAGGAGGGAGAAGGGAAAAAAAAAACTAGTGAAGGGTTCATGAGTGAGACAAGGACTGGGAGAAATATTTCAAAGGCAAAACAGGCTCAGCTTTAGTTGCAAAGTGAAATTTATTACTAACAGAATCAGAGGAGGATAATGAGAAGTAAAAGAAGCTCTTAAAACACCAGCCAACCCCTCTGTCTCTCCCAACAGTGCAGAGAAAATACAGGCATGGGAGTTTTGGTCAGTTCATCACCAAGATTTTCTTTGGCTGCTCCGGGAGAGGAGTCCTTCCTGTGAGGCTGTGGGGTCCCTCCCACAGGAGACAGTTCTCTGTGAACTTCCCTGGTGTGGGTCCACTCTCACGAGCAGCAGCCAAACCTCACCTGCTGCAAACATGAGTCCCTCCCATGGTCAGACAGTCCTCCCAAAACTGCTGTGATGTGGCTCTCTTCCCATGGGGTGCAGTCTCTTCCACGGACAGGCTGGCTCTTCCCACTGGGTCTTCCACTGGGTGTTCCACTGGATCACAGCCTCCTCCAGGCATCCACCTGCTCCAGTGTGGGCACCTCCCCCAGGGCTGCAGGTGGATCTCTGCAGCTCCCATGGATCCCTATGGGCTGTGGGTGAATCTCTGCATCCCCTGTGGTTCCCCACAGGCTGTGGGTGGATCTCTCCATCTCCATGGATCCCCACAGGCTGTGGGTGAATCTCCACATCTCCCATGGTTCCCCACAGGCTGTGGGTGAATCTCTGCATCTCCCATGGTTCCCCACAGGCTGTGGGTGAATTTCTGCATCTCCCATGGTTCCCCATGGGCTGTGGGTGAATCTCTGCATCTCCCATGGTTCCCCACAGGCTGTGGGTGGATCTCTGCATTCCGCTTGGATCCCCAGAGACTGCAGGGGCACAGCTGCTTCACCATGGTCTCACCACAGCTGCAGAGGAATCTCAGCTCCAGTGCCTGGAGCACCTTCTGCCCTTCCTTCTTCATTGACCTTGGTATCTCCATGTTGTTTTCCTCACATGTTCTCATCTCCTCCTCCTCTCTGACTAGAAGCTGAAACCTTGTGCCTTTGTTTTGATTTTCTTAAATGTCATCACAGAGATGTTACTAGCCTCTCTCATTGGCCCAGCTTTGTCCAGCAGCATGTCCTTCTTCAGAGCCATCAGGGTTTGACTCTGCTGGACATGGTGGAAGCTTCCAGCAGCTTCTCACTGGAAGCATCTTTGTGGTCTCCCTGCTACCAAAAACCAGGCCATATGAAACCAATACAGGAAACTTCTCAGGGTAGCTACAACTGATGGGTGCAGTTTTCTCTGGTCCTGTCCCCTCTCGTCAGTCAGCATGTTACTTGGTGTACAGTGTTGCAAAAAGCCATTTCAAGAGCTGATCTTGCTGAAAATAGCTTTTGATGTAAACTGGATTTTCAGTTTCATTTCCTACATCAGCTAACTGTTTGCAAAAGCTCAAATGGTACACATAGGCAAAGGTAGAAGGTAAGTGGACTGTGGAAGCTTGTGCTGAACCTGTGAAATTACATCATCGTTTCAGAGGAGGAAATAGGAGAAGGAAGAAACTGCTTTCTATAGGTATGTTGTAGTGGCTGTTGTTGACATTCACATAAAAATTCACATTCAAAGTTTAGTGTGGATTGTTTTTTTTCTTTTATCTCTTTATTCTGTTTTTGCATTTGTTCTTCTGCTTGAGTGTATGCTTTTTGAATTTTACAGCAATTTTGATTGATCATGTTTTGACCTGCTTGATGTTCTAGTTCAAGGAACATGGCCTTAAGAATGCTAATGACTATGTCAATCAACAAATTTCTTCAAATTAAGGATTTTCAAACTCCAAAGGTGCTCTAATTATGCTTCATTTTCCTGGACATTGTTCTTATTTCTTCTTAGTAGAGTATCAGAGTATATGAACAATTGCTCTTTTTATCAAGTAACAGAAATGCCTTCTAAGGGAGATTTTGAATTTTTTATTCTGGTTAAATGCATGAATAGTTTATTTTTTCCCAGCAGAACATAATCTTCTCCTTCATTGAATAATGTGGCATGTGCATTCACTCCAGATACGGAAAAGTTGAACTGAGTTCCTTGCTCTTCAGGAGACACATTTTATGGTCCTGAACAGAGTGCCATAAATACACAGCTCTCAGATGGGTGCTTTTGCTCTGTGCTTGTAAAGTTGACTCTCTTTGTCTAAACCAAAACATTGAGCAAGGGCCTGGGGTCCTCCTGAGGGATTTCAAACAGTGGAGCTGAAGGTTCATTCCTTCTCTGTTCCAGTCAAGGCAGAAAGAAAACCACACCTGGCTTCTACCAAGTATTCTTGCTAGGAGCTGATGGAGTTTTCTAGAGTGGGGATCCTTTTTTGAAGCTATTTCACCTTCTGTAAAATATTTACATACATGTCAAGAGGCATTCCATAAACATGAGGCATTGATGTGAGGTCTCCCCAGGCCTTGTAATCCTGAATAAAAGGATGTTTCTTCATAGTGCAGTTTTATGAGCTTTAGTTTTTCTCAAATGAGTGTCCCAAAACAAAACTTCCTGTTTCAGGCTAAAAAGATCATTTTTTTGTTAAATGGACCAGAACTTCTCTATGTCCTATTTAATTCTCAAGAAGAGTTGACAAAAATAAGTTTAGCTTGATAAAATTTTTTTATTGATTCAACAGCAAAAGTCTCAGATGAAATGACCTCAGAATCCCAACATTGCCTTGACATTTTGATGAATATATGTATCACTTCTTCATTTAAACACCTTTCTGTGGGCATCTGTTGAGTACTATATTGCTTGAAAATAGTTCACTCTGATATTTTTAATAATTTACTCATGGTATGTTTTGTGATTATGCTACATAATACTATGTCTTTCTAGACCATGTAAACAGAAAATAATAATTTTTTGCCTCAATGTAAATGCTAATATTGGTACTGGAATTATCATGTCTGCCTACTGATATCCAAAACAACCATCCTGCTGAATATTTTCTAAGATAAGCAAGTGTAAGGGGTAGGATTATAGTCAGGGGAGGAATTTTTAAATGTCTCCATGAATATTTTTTCCTACTGTTTACTCAGCTCTGCTCTTGTGGCCATGCTTATTGAAATGTATAAATCAGACCTGAGTATTTTAGAAGTCTATCCATCTCTATTTCTCTTTAAGCATTCTCTTTTCAGTATGAAATACTGCACCAAGAGCTACATCTCTCTTGTTTACAGAATTCAGATAATTAGGTAGGAAGATGAAAAACTAATTTAATAAGGAAAAAAAAATAAAAGAGCTGATAATATTGAAATGTCCATAGTTGCATAAAAAGAAAATCACAAAGACAAGAAAAATAAGGTAAATCTCCTTATGTAACATTGTATCACTGTTCTGCACACCAGACCTCATGCAGCATATATAAAAAACTAAAAAAAAGACAATGATGAGCATATTAGTAATTAATTCAGGTGTATGTAAATGCATAAAGAAAATTTGTTGGCACATTATCAACTGATTATTTTGACCCTTGTAATATTTTACAAATGTATATGTTTTCAGGATTTGAAAGAAAAAGAAAAAATCAAACATAAAATGTTATATAAAAATATAAAACAACTGAAGTTTACATTTAGAAATAATTAATAATGACCTAGTATCAATTGTGGCTGCTTTTCTATACTATTCCTACATAACAAGAACAGTGTAATTGAGTTAGTGTGTTTAAACAAGTATATACTTTATGTTGTGAATATTACAAAAAATTGGTCTTATTCTACACAAGCTATAGCAGAAACACATTGTAAGCTCTGTAAAAAAACCTTATCAGTCACAAGGCAGCTCATCTATATTTTATAATATATTTAATCAGTGCTTATGGGTTTTAGATGGGACAAAGTAAAGACAAAGTTCAACCAAAACAGATGGAGTTACAAAAGAATTTGTAAAATGGGTTATTTCACTGCTGGCAGCCTAGGTCTCACTTCAGAGAAAGAATCAAAGCAGAACTGAGAAAGAAAAGGAAAGCTGAAAAGGTCACAGAAGATCTGAAAAACACACTTATTCCAGAAACCTTTTTTGCATGTTTTTCGTTGATACTTTTGTGGTTTTGAATTGATATGATACCCCTCTCTCTGAGCTAAGGTAGAGAAACTGCCTACAAGAGTGTATCTTTACTTTTAGGATATAACCTTGGTCTTACTGCATGTTTTGTGTATCAAGGAAGTAATGGAGCAGGTGGACACTGTGACTGCTACACCCATACACTGCTGTAGGCATTGCTTCATTAGTGGTCATACCATAGAATCATAGAATGGTTTGGGTTGGAAGAGACCTTAAAGCTCATCTAGTTCCACACCTTCCACTAGACCAGGTAGCTCAGATCCCTATCCAGCCTGGCCTTAAACACTTTCAAGGATGAGGCATCCACAGCTTCTCTTGGCAACCTGTGCCAGTACCTCAACCACCCTCACAGTAAACAGTTTCTTCCTAAAATCTAACATAAACCTGCTCTCTTTTTCCTGTCACTACATGCTCTTGTAAGTAGTCTCTTTCCATCTTTCTTGTAGGCTCCCTTCAGGTACTGGAAGGACACAATTAAGTCACCTTTCATCTTCAGGCTGAATATTCCCAATTCTCTCAGCTCTTCCTCATAGGAAAGAAGCTCCATCTCTTCAACCATCTTTGTGTTACTCTGAACTGGCTCCAGCAGCTCTATGTCCTTCCTGTGCAGGGACCCCAGCTCTGGATGCTCCAGCTGGGTCTCAGCAGAGCAGAGGGGCAGAATCCCCTCCCTCCCCTGCTGCCCACGGGGCTCTGGATGCAGCCCAGGACACGTTGCCATGGCCAGGGCATGTCCAGCCTCTCACCCACAGCACCCCTAAGTCCTTCATATCCCAGCTTTCCAAATAGATATCAATATCTTTCCAAAGATATTGATGAATCTTTACAATAAACACTAAATAAATAAACAATAAACAATAAAAACTGTTTTGGAACCCTTTTCAAGAATATGCTGTATTTATGAAGGTTTGCTTTTAGTATTAATTTAAGATAGATAGATAGATGCATAGATAGATAGATACATAGATAGATAGACAGAGAGACAGATCTATATAAAATATGAGTGGAATAGGCAAAGCATCACTACTAGATTTATGGAAATGCCTCTTTTTTTAATACATAAAAAAAAAAACAAACCCAAAACAAAGTATGGATATGGAACAAATAAGACTTGTGTTAAAAACCTAATTAATAATTTAATTTTAGTTCATAACTTGTCTTGCTTATATCAGTAGGACTACTCATACTGAAAGCTTAGATATGCTTTGCAAAAGCAAGGTCTTCATTAATAGTTAATACCCATAGACATTATTTTATTTAATGAGAAGCAAAAATGTTGACATTACGTCCTTTAAAAACCCAAAGTACCTAAATATTTCTGCTCTTCCAAGTAAAAGCCATCTCACTCATTTTCTTCAAGTTATTTCTTAAATTGTTACTAGTTTTGGTTTTTACCTCCCCTTCTTCTCTTTCCCCTGCCACCTTGTACATTTCCTTGAGACAGATTAAGTATTGCACAGTTTCTTTTACATTTGATATACCTGTGGCAATCATGAGCATGGCTTGCAAACAAATTGCATAACTACCAAAAGACATGGTCAATGTGATGAATACTTTACGTGTTTGGCTGTGTTTCCTGACAGCTACAGAAATAAGAAACACAATGCACCCTCTTCCATGATTTTAATGTTAAATACAACGTCTGAGCTATTATTTATAAAGGAGAAAAAGCTACTCCAGCTCCTGCCACATGATACAACTGTTCTGCCAGATGAGAAACAACCATAAAAGGTGACCTGTAAACAGTTAAAAAGATAAAACCCTTAGCTGTTGATGCACTGGATGGGAGACTGTGGGAAAGTGACCAAGGAAGACAGCCTTAGGGAGTCTGAAAGTTTGGCTGTTGTATACAAGCTTGGGATGCTTTTGGTAAGAGTTCGATGAGACAGTTGCATAGGCTCATTAATTATTGTAAATGTCACTTTCTTTTATGTTTAGTTTCTTAAGATTAAAGAGAGCCTTGGTTTTAGAAGACTGACTGAACATTGCATTAACTCCCGGTTCCAATCTTCTGAAGGGAACAAATGCAGGCACCCAAATCTAATTATGTCTGTGAAGTTAAGCACGCTTGTGCAGGAGTGGTTGAGCAAACACTGTATGACTTTGCTTGGGTACAGGAAAGAGTATAGCTGCAGCAGCACAGAGGCTAATCTTCTCTCTTCTTCGGCATCTCATTTAGAGTTTGGTCAGAGATCAGTACCCCACAGCCTGTAGTGTACATGAGACATGGTCTACTGATGGAATTAGTCCTTAGTTTCTAAGACAAAGGACTAAGATTAATTGCAATTTTCTTGCAATTAATTAATGCTGAATGCTTCCCACCCCATCAATTCCACCTAAACAGGAAATACTTGGCAATCACTTTAATTTGGGGTTACATATTCTTAGTTAAGATCAGGCACAGGTTGGCTGCAGTGGAGGTCATTACAGCAGGAAAGCATCAGTACCTGATAACAGATGGTGACTTGGTGAATGATATTTATTATAGCAAAAAATGGACTAAACTGATTATTTTTAGCAAGGTAAGTATTTTATAGTTTGAGTACTTTCTGGCACGACTATTTGCTATTAAGAAATTGCAGTCTGGATAAGAGAACAGAGTAGTTTTGTGTTAAGGCTTTTTAACTGTGTGTTTACTCAGAAATTGAGAAATTTGCCATTTAGTAAGTTCAGCTGTGCTCAATGACGCCAGAAATAGTAAAAAATTCAGGAATTCTGTACCCTTGAGCCATTTGCTAAACTTCTGGGACCAAGTGTGAACTGGGAGCAGCATTTACATGTCTCAGGGTAATAAATTCAGCTATTCTGTGTGTTCAGCAAAGCCATCCAGGTTCCCTGTGAAGTGACTGGGAGCAGCAAAGCTCTTGGGAAGGTTATTTAGAAGAGTTGTAAAGAGGCACAGCCTATGGCCAAGTAAGGAAGGGAGCTGAAATTCTGCTTCTCCCCTAGGCTTAGGTGCTTATTTGCATCCCTGGAGACAGGTGCCTCAGACTCATGGGAAGGCTTTGTTATGCTCAGGCTGTAGGGTGGACCTTCAGCACTGATCACTGCTTGGCTTTAGGCTGTAACTGATAAGAGGCACAATAAGCTCAACTTAATGTCAGTCTATTATACTCTCGAGACTCTCAAATTCTAGAGAAATATGCTACCCACCCTGCTGCAGACTAATCGACAATTGAGGCCCCATCGCTTCCATTAGAGAGCATTGCCATTGTGCAGCCAGGAATACCCACGACTTGTGGAAATAGCAAGATTACTGGAAAGAGGCAGCTCAGTTTAGGAACTGGCAGGTACTTTAGGGCGGCTTCCCTCTGGGTTGTTTGTGACTGATATCACAAAGTTGTGTATATAAGATTTAAAAGTATTCCTGCTTGCCTTTCTTTTGTAACTCAGTTCCTGTAAAGAAAGTTCTATTTCAGCCCTCCTAACTTATGAAGTGAGACACCAAGAGTCAGCTGCAAGCAGGGTACTGAATGGATTGGATACATAGATATTCACTATCGAAAAGAAGTAATAATGAGATGCAATAGGAAAAAAAAAAGTCTGAATTGTGTAAGAGTTAGTGAGGAAAGGAAAAATAAATGGGAAGTGAGGCAAACAAGCAAAGACTGAAAGCTGAGCTGATACTAGTCAAGGAGAAAAAACAAGAACAAGTTAAAACCATCATTACAAAGTATACTACTAAGAGTTACAATGAACTGTGGTGTCATTTGGGACTCTAATTGCATGCTTTACTGAACATTACTGGGAGCATTTATCATGGCTGCCAGCAGCCATAGGTTTAGCTACTGTGGGCCTCGGTGCCATCTGGATGGATGAGCACTCACTCAGTCTTTAATGGAAAGTTAGAGATCATTGTCATAGCAATTCATAGCAATTCATACTGCATCTGTGTGTAGCACCTATACATGTTTATGTTTTGTTTGAGGTGACTATTGCTGCTGTTCAATATATGCACTTTTTTTAATTAAAAAAAATACAATTGCTTTGGAGATTTTAACACTGAATTGAAAAAAATAAGGCTTGGTCCTCTATCATTTCAATGGTTTTTTTTCCCTCTATTACTATTTAAATTTTTTAAAAAGAAACAAAACAATGTGAGAGTTTTTATGCTCCCTAGGCTATCAGACAGCCTAAAGTGGTTCATAAAAACTTACTGAGGATTAGACAGCGGATATTTTAAGCCATTGTTTCATATTGTAATTGAAGACATTACTTTTTAAAATCAAAAATATTTGAAGTTTTTGTTAAGAATTAAAGAATATTGTAGGTCATGTTATTAATTCCATTTTAACTTTTTTTTTGAAAGCAAAGGACTTTTATTAATGGACCAGTGCTAGCTCACTCCAAAAATCAGTAAAGATGCTTTACTTAATGTGAAATTCAGTCTGAATCATATTATGTTCACTGTTTTAGTGCGTTTTAAGCCAAGTAATCACAGTCGTGCAGTGATGACTCAAAGAAGTCAATATATTTATAGCTTCACCAGGAAAACATCACTAAGGATTGTATATACATAGAGTGCCATTGACTACTTGGATGGACAGTGGTAATGATGTAGAGCACAGCTGACTTTGTATCTCTATTAAAACTCATACAGGCTTAAAGAAAAAACATAAATTCTGAGTATTTTGACTTGACTACTACATCAGAATATTAGAATGTAGTTGCTGATAATGGATGCCTAATTAAATTATACCAAATGATACCAAAGATGTTTTTATGTGATATGTCAGTTCTCTGTTAGTGTGAACAGTGCTATGTTTACCAGCTAATGACAGAATCAGAGAATGGGTCAGGTTGGAAGGGCCCACAGCAGGTCATCTGGTCCTTCCTGCCCAAGCAGGGCCATCTAGGCCACATGGTACAGGAGTGCATCCAGATGGTTTTTTAATATCTCCAGTGAGGGAGACTCCACAACCTTCCTGGTCAATCAGAAAGAATTTCTTCCTCATATTCAGGTAGAATTTCCTGTGCATCAGTTTCTGCCCCTTGCCTCTTGTCCTATTGCTCAGCACCACCGAGCAGAGCCTGGTCCCTCCTCTGGCCCCTCCCTGCAGGCACTGACAGACACTGCTGAGGTCCCCTCTCAGCTGTCTCCTCTCCAGGCTGAACAGCCCCAGCTCCCTCAGCCTGCCCTTTAAAGTTATCCCTTGGAAACTTTGTAGCCCTGAGGTGGATGTGCTTCGAGGCCTCCATGTTTCGTCTTGAGGAGCCCAGAACGGGACACAGCTCTTCAGATGTACCTCACCAGGGTTGATCAGAGGGGACAGGATCTCCTGCCTAGACCTACTGGCATTGTTCTTTAACGCAGCCCAGGACACCACTGGCCTTCTTGGCCACAAGGGCACACTGCTGGTTCATGGACGGCTTTGCTTTAGAAATTACCGTGTCATTTTAAAGAAGCTTCCTGGAAGGGTGACGTTGTGTTTTATGCCCTACGAGGGGAATGGTATTGATCCTTTAAATGTTCTACCCCCAGAGGTCACTGTCTACAGACACCTCTGAATTTCATTCTACTGGTGACTTACAGATAGTCCTGGACCTTGGAGAGAAATTAGAGGTTTGGTTTGGCTCATCCTAGAGCTTTATTTGGAGCATAGAAAAGTGGAGAAAGACTTTTGTTGCTCTCTTAGAGTGCTGA